AGATCCTTGAGCTTCTGGCTCTTCTAACTTTACAAGTTTGGAGGATTTCACTGAATCCTTCGAAAGCCTTGTTGCTGCCCTGCTCAGAACAGACAGGCCAGTTGGCATGCTCCACAGATTATATATCAATCCAAAACTTCCTTCTTCCCAATGTCAGAAAGTAAGATAACCCATTGTGCACGCCAAGGGAAGTCTTGTCTGTGTCCATCAGAATTCCTTTTGGAATAAAGAAAACCCACATAGAGGTGTAAAAAACAAAACATTGATTGTGCTCTGCTTATTTCCTAAGTTGCCTTCTCACTTAAACTTGTTTTTTTTTTTTTTATAAAGAATTGTAAAGGTGCAGATGTTTTCTGCAAACCCCATAGTTGCTGCACTTTTATCCATCCTTTAAAAGGTGGGTCTTGGGGCAAGAGTTCGCTCCCTAGGGTGTTGATAAGCATCTCTGTCCCTTTTCTGCTGGTGTAACAGGATTCCAGACTAAGAATGAATTTTAAACCACGGGGGTTACTGGGCTGTCCTCCCTGAAGGCTGTGACCTCCAGATCAAGGGGCCACGTCTGTCACGACCTCGCACTGCCTGTCATAGCATGGCTGAGGGCCTTGCCAAAGATGAGAAGTTGGGGTGAACCTGCTTTTGTAACAAATCCACTCTCAGAACAGCCAACCCACTCCTTGATACTGAACTGAGCAGGGACCTTATGGCCGCATTACTTCCTGGATGGGAGAGACGGTCCAGCACAGCAAGGACCTTTGATGAGGAGGGCTGTGGGAAGGGGTCTCCTGCCAGGGTTTTATAGTGGTGGTAAGGTTCTGGAGTGGGAACTCTGGGCTCAGAGCCCCGGGCAGAAGGGTGGGCCAGCTCTGTGTGGCTTCTTCTGCAGGCCTGGCCCGGATGGGGCAAGGCCACAGTATGGTCACAGAGGTGCCCAGTTAGGAAGCCTGCCCTTAGCAGCCTTCTCCATCCTGGGTGACACTTGGCTCACGTGCAGGACAGGCTCACGCTGAGGGTCTCTTGCCCCTGCTTCTCCAAGCAGAGGCACCCTTACTTCCTTACACCTCTCGTTTGGGTTTGAAGAGAAGAGGAAGCAGTATCTTCCCATTTGAGCCTTCTGAGCAGCTGACCCAAAGCTCAGTGATTTTCCTGTAAGGAGAACGGTGCCTGTTCCCACCTGCTTTGCGCAGAAGCTTTGCCTTTGCCACCTTGGAGTTTGTACAGGAAGTCACATGAGTGCTGGCCCTGTCGGACTCATCCCAGGGGGGCGTGGACGCCTGTTTCCCTCAGGTGACCTTCTGTCCAGCAGGGCAGGAGCTGGCAGGGGTGTTGGGGCTCCCTGGAATTGCAGACCTGACCCTCACTGCTGAGGCTGGGCTGTGGGTACCGGGGAGGGTCAGCTCTGCCTGGACCCAAGAGCTACAGTGTGGAACCCACAGCACGATGTCAGCTCAGGGTTGTGTTCAGGTCAGGACTTCGTGGGACAGAGCAGCTACACTTACCCTTCTGTGGGTCAGGACTTCCAAAGGACGCTGAGCTTCCATGTTTCCTGACGGGACCCTGAATCTTCCCAAATCTGAAACATTTCAGTGTCCCTATGACACAGCCTGTGTTAATGGTTTGCGGTAGTCTTCACTGTCCAGTACTGTGCGTGTATGTGAGGAAGCGATGGGTCAGCAGCAGCAAGCATGAGGTTCCAACTCAGGCAATGCGAGGGTCCAGGCCGCAGGCTGTGTGCCAGGCTGGCCAAGGTAGCAACACCTTTGCTTTGTGGGGGCTCAGAGCTCACAAACTTCATTTCACACACAGAATTGTAGCAAGTGTTGTAGAAAACTGCCATCACGCTGTGTGCAGGTGTACGTAAGTGAATCTTCTATCCAGGATTGGGACCTTTCCCACAGTATCTCATGGTGCATTGCATGCCTTCAGATCTGACCATGTTCCGCACAGCCCTGTGCCAGGTGTTTCTGGTGAGGGTTGGCTGGTGGCAGTGCTGTGACAAGCAAGCCAGAGCCCCCTTGGGTGGGGTGGGAGTGGGCTGGCATGGACCGCTGTCACCAAAGCACAGACCTCTGACGGGCAGCTTTTGAGCTGAGTCCTGAGTGGGTTGAGAAGGGGGCGGGGGGAGACTTGGGAGCAGTGGCTCTGTGGAGCGGTGCGGAGTAGCCAGGCCAGGCACTGGGCAGCAGGTAAGATGTGCGCATGTCAGGTTCTAGGTTCCATCAGTGTCTGTGGGACTCTTAACTGAACTCAGATGCCGGCCTCTGGAGAGACTGCAGGCCTGGGGAGCCCTGGTGCTTTTTGTTTGGATGGAAATTGTTCCCACAGTGCCCGGTCTCACTGTGTCTCCTAGCTGCCAGACCGCATGGTTCTTGGTTGCCAGTGGGAGCCCCATAAATATATTCTGGAATTGAGGTGATGCTGGGATCTGTGTTCTGTGCCTGCCATCTCTTCCCTGCACACAGTCAGTCTGCAAAGCCCAGGTCCTCCCCACTGAGTTCCCGTGGTCCCAGCAGCGGTCTTTGCACCACTCTGCCCTGCAGGCCCTAGGTCCTCTGCTCGTCCCTGTCCTTGCAGGAAGACCCCTCCGTGGCCCTGCAGCCAGTCCAGCCCAGGGTAGCCTCCTCCGCAGGCCCTGCTCGCAGGGGTCCCCTCTGACCACCATGCAGCCTATGAGTCCAGCCACATTGTTTGCAGATGCCCGCGCAGCGAGCAGCAGACCTTTCCTTCTGTGGCCACGCCCTGGGTTTGCTGGTGAAGGGCTGGTGATGGAGGAAGGAAGTCTGGGCTGTAGCTTCCCTGCTCTTCTTTAGGAAAAGGGTAACCACACGTGCTCAAGAAACCATGGGCAGCCCTATGTGTCAGCATGCAAACTTGGGTTTAGTGGTGTCACGGTCCTTGTCAGTGTGTTTCCAGTGGTGGGAGTCGTGCTGCGTGGACATTTTTCCTGCCCGCCTTCTCAAGTGAGTGGGCTGAGAAAGGCACCCATGCCGGTCCTCAGCCTAGGTAATTTGCCCTGCGGAACCAGAAGGGCCTTGGAAAGAGCTCCAGAACCGAGGCCTCTGCTGTCTGCACCTCGAGTTTCTCCCAGGTGATCTCGGAGGAAGCAGATTCTTCCCACAGCGTAGCCCAGAAGCTGTCCTTCCCTGGAGCAGCTGGCAGGCCTGGGTGCTGCGCTGACCTCCCTGTGGCTCTCCACCGAGAATGTTTCGGAGACCAGGGTCCCTGTGGTCTCTTGCATAAGCTTCCGCCTCCCTGCCCCATGGGGTCTCCATGGTGAAGGCTGGGTGCCCTTTGACCTTGGCCACTGCCGGTGAGCCAGGGCTGTGGAGGTGGGCAAGAGTAGGACTCCCCTCCCATCAGTGACCATTCCACAGGTGCACAGCAGGCCCAGGTGTGGGGCAGGGGGACAGGTGGGCAAGGATGGCCGTGTGCAGACACATGAGCAGTGTAGACCAGGCCCATGGCTCTGTGGCTTGACAGGGCCGAGGTTCGCTTCTCTCACCATGGCTTGTCCTTTTCTCTCTGTGACAACAATGGCCACAGGTGAGCCGTGGGCTGGTGAAGGTGGCTTTCCTGACTGTGCTGCATGAAAGGAAAGTACCAGGACCTCAAGGTAGAAACTCAGCTGTGTTTGCTAACGGTAATGAGTCTCGTGTGGCTCAGAGTTTTGTGACTCCTTGCTTCCTGATGGCTTTCGCTTGTCACTGTCAGTAGTTTCCTCTGCTTGAAGAAAGATGTGCTTCATGGAATCAGCACCGTGTCCCTGTACAGGGGTGCTTCTTGGGAGGAGGGTGTTTGAGACCGAGTTGTGTTCGGTAAACATTTATTAAACCCCTACTGTAAGGGCAGAGAGGCATTGTGAGAGGGTGCTGGCCCCAGTGCCTGCTAAGCCCCTTACATTGCTAGTGTGTTCCTGTCCAGCAGGGTGGGTTAGTAACTGGTGGGCAATTTAAACTCAGTCAGTGTGGTGTTGAGCATGAGTGGCCCACCTGAGCATTGTGGCCAAGGTAAGAAGAGCCGGAGAGGCAGAGGTAGTGGTGTGGGTTCTCTGGAGGAGCTGTCAGGCTTCTTTGCTGATATGATCGTCAGAGGAGCTTGGGACCTTGCTTTCACTGAGGATGGCTGGGCAGTTTGGGGGAGCTCTGGTCCTTATTTCAAGCATCACTTTCTGGCGTCAGTGCAGATCCCTCAGCCTGCTGACACAACTCCTTCACACCGTGCTGGCACAGACTTTCTAGATTCCACCACTGACCTTTGTGTCTTAGCGTATGGACAGATTGCAGCTGTTGGATTTGGGGAGGTTTTTACTTTCTGGCATATTTGCACATATGGGATGAGTTTTTCGGGGGATGGTACTCAAATCTAAACAGTGGTATTCACTTATTTCCTGTACGTGTAGCCTGATGGTAATTTTATAAAGTGTTGATAATTTTATGCACAGAACAAAATTTCACAGTGTGAAATTTTCCATTCATAGTTTCAGCAGCTGATGAAGGTGACTGTTTTAGGACATTTCAGGTTTGGAATTTTCAGATTATGTACACTTGTTCTGTGTTCTGCGTTGAAGTCACCATGGTCAGAGTGGCCAGGGCTGATTTCTCCACAGTGCTGCCGGCATCTGAGCACAGGCAGGTGACACCTCGCTGCCAGGGGCCTGTCACAGAGGGGCTGCAGCTCTGGCTGCTCGCTTTTGAGCTTCCTGGGCTCCGTTTCCACATCAGGGGAGCTAAACCCTGCGTCTCTCTGAGCACACAGTCCTTGGGCTTTTGTGACTGATCTTTAGTATCGACCCCCACAACCCCAGCACTGTGGGCTTAGTTGGACTCATGCTTCAGTTTTGGGGACTTTATTCTCCTGAAAGCAAAATGTGCACTTTATTATCTTCAAACTGTCACTTAGATTTCCCAGTGAGTTTGAAAATACTGGTTAAGAGTTAAAGTTTTTTCAGTTGACTCCCTGAGTATTGAATTAGATGCTGACTGTCTTCTTTCTTTCTCTTGCAGCTGTTTGGGGCAACTTCGTTAATATGAGGTAATTGTTTACTTACCTGGGTGCTGCGGTTGGGTTTTAGCACACAGTTTGGTTGTCCTTGGTCAAGGTGTCCTAGGGTAGTAAAGGAACAGTTCCTGCTGGGGCTGAGTATCCTGCTGGCCTGTCGCTGTCCTCCCTGGATCTTCCTAGGCACCACCCTGCTGCAGTATTCCCCAGGCCAAGCCCTTGGGACAATGGTGAGCACCTCTGTATCACCACTTCCTGTCTGCCCATCTGCCCTCCGTGGGTGGACTACAGAGCTGTCCCTCTGGACACCACTGGGCCAAGTGCTGGGAACAGGACTGGAGCTCACTTGCAGCCACAGGGAGCTTCCTTACCTGAAATGTTGGGGACCAGAAGTGTTTGGGTCTTTTCTTTTGGATTCGGAGCATTTGCACACAGAGAAGCTGTCCTAGGGATGGGTAAGGTCTGAACCCTTGTGTTTCATACACATCTCACACACGTTGTCTGACTGTGACCCTGTCATGTGAGGTTACACGTGCAGTCTACTTGTGGCATCAGATCACCGTTCAGAACAGTTTGGACCTGGGACCTTTTGAAGTCAGCTGCGATGCTTAGCACGACCTGGTGTCCAAGGGTTGGGTGTCCGGCACAAGTATGCATGACTTGAGCTTCCTCTAAGGAGGGCTGCATGCTTGTAAAATTTAAATGCTCATGCTAATCATCACTGCCAAATTTAAAAGCAACCCCTTAAAAGTCAGCAGAGGAGGAGGAGTCAGCACTCCCAGTAAGAGGAAATCTGGCACTGTGGCGGTCTTTCAGTGAAAGCTGCCACTGCTGTCTGGGTGTTGTGTTAGAGGGAGCTTGACCCTGGCTTGCTGCTGCTGGAGGCTGTGGAATGGGAGCTGGATGCTTGGCCCTTCCCCCGTGCCCAGTGGCTTCTCCTGTGGAGTTGGCTCTGCCAGACGGGTGGGGCAGTCAGACCTGACTCCTGCATCGGCCCTGTGTCTTCTACAAAGACGGCCTGTGTGGCTGGATGGGGTGGAAGGGCACCAAAAGTTAAAGGAGCTCTGTGTTTGCCTTTGGAGAAACTCCATTTGCATTAAACCCCTGCAGAGGACCGTACACTCCTGTGGGCTCGCTTCCTGCTTCTGATTTAAAGCTCCCTCTGGGGGAGTAATGTGGAAGTGAGGTTATTTTGGTTTAACGGAAAGTATTGGTTGGTAAAACTCAGTGTGTTCCAGGTGGGCTTCGGGCAATTCCTCCCCAAGGCTGGCTTTCCTGCCTCTGCGCCCCCTGCTGGCAGGGACTGGCGCTCGGGGCTGGGGGTGGGCAGTCCTACAGCTGGGGGTGAGGTGGGGTGTCTCTCTTGACATTAATTTGTGCAGAAACAAATGTTGAAGTCCCAAAGCCTTTCAATTGATCTTAGCTTTGTAGCTTTTTGCTCAACAGGTCTATCCAGGAGAACAGCGAACTGAGAATTGAAAGCAAGATTGAAGAGGTTAGTCCTATTCCGTGTTTGCCTCTATCCACGTGTTCGTCACTGTCCCTTCCTTTGCCTGTGCTGGTGTCTGTATTGCAGCAGCCTGTGCTGTTCAGTTGTGAGACCACTTCAAAAAATCATTCCCATCTATAAGAAGAGACTTTGTCATCCTGTCCATGCAGTCTCAGTCTCTGTTGGTCCATTTTAATAAAAGTGTGAAAATTCAAACAAATCTGCCTTAAAGGCAGCCGTGGTTAGACTTGTGCATGACTTTTTCTCAAGCCTTTCCTAGGGAAAGGGGTTTGTGACCTACAAGCCTTAGGGCTGGGACCAGCACCCACCCCCAAGCAGGTGCAAAGAGAGTGTGACCCCACACCAGGGAATGGCTGAGGAGCTGAGTAAGCATCCCTGCGCCTGCTGTGGGGATCAGGAGGCTCCCCACCACCTGGCAGCTAGCACTTGTGCCACAGACTATACACCTCCCACTGGGCAGAGGGTTAGCAGTAAGCTGTTGCAGAGGCAGCTGGACCCGTAGCGCACCTGGCTGGGGAGACAGATGCTGGGAAACCCTGGGCTCCCTGCTGCTTGGACTCCCCACAGGTGGTGGCAGGGCAAGGCTCAGCCTGCAGCCTGTATACTGATGATGCAGGGTGGTGGCAGGAACAGCCAGGAGTGCTCTGTGGGCTGTGCTGGGGGTCTTTGGGTCCCGGGTCCTGGGGAGGAGCAATATTGACCTACCTGACCTTAAGACCCAAAGCACCTTTGCCTGCTTCTTGGTAAGGTGGGTGTGTACAAAGGAATTTTGCCAGCCTTTGACAATCAAGTGCCTGATTCTAACATTGAGATTCAAGTGGTTTGTTTCCTGGTTGGATTAACAGAATTCGTACAGGAAATTAAAATCTGTTACGCTCATCTGAAACATTAGAAGAAGGTGTACATGGTGGAATACTGTGTTGCTACTTTAAGATTGGTTTTTCTTATCATCCTAGATTGTTGAGCCACTGAGAGAGAAAATCAGAGATTTGGAAAAAAGGTATGTCTGCTTTTTGTTTCAAGTGTCAGAAAGTCCATACATACTGGCTATGTGATGGGAAAGATCCCCATCCAGTCTGAATTCATCTCAACTGAGTTCCTTCATGAAAGTCTGTGTGACCTGCATGAGTGAGACATGGCGAGACCTTTTCGAGACAGACTTTTCCCTAAGGGTTAGTTTTAATGGAAGGGTGGATGCTCAGCCTTTACACTTCCGGTTCTTGTAGTCCTTAGGATGAAAGTGGGAGTGCTAGCTGCCAGGTAGCGGGGAGCCTCCCCAACTCCCATATTATGAAAGGGTGGGTGCTCAACCTTTACACTTCCTGTTCTTGTAGTCCTTAGGACTATTTCTGATGAAAGCAGTGGAATCTGTCCAGGAAAGAAAGATGAATTTGTTTTTCTAGAGGGCTTACTGAATCCCAACCAAAAGTTCTTAGAAATCCTTCTAAGATCAGCTCCACTTCTATTAACTGTGGAATTCTAAACAAATGTCCACCTAAACACATGTGGTATTCTCCTCTGGTTGGAATGGAATGCCTTGGTCAGAACAGTGGGGAAAGAAAGGGTCTGGCTCTGAAATCTTCCCCACAAACCTGTGAATCCCTGTGTCCCTGCAAGTTCAGGATGGGGAGGGTGGTGCTCAGCCTGCTGGCTCTCTTGGGTTGTCCCTGGCCGGTGTGAATTAGTGTAAAGGGTCCTGGAGCAGGACAGCCCCTGGAGCTGGGTGCAGGTACTGCATCCTGAGTGTGTAGCACCCAAGGGTGCTGTGGGGCAGAGAGGGTCCTGCACAGTTGCTTAGCTGCGTCTGTCACCAGAGCACAGCACATTTCCAGAGAGTGCCCTGGTGAAGTGAACAGGGGGATCCGTGGAACAACATGTGGACATGTCCACCAAGCCGGGCTGTGGGTGGACAGGGCTGCCCCACAGGCAGGTGTCTACACAAGTGCATCTGTCCACTTCTCCAGCGACAGCTCCCAGGTGTGACAGCGTTGACCTGGAGTGCTTGGGTGAAGACTCTGTGGCCGAGGCCAGCAGTTGAGTCCTTGGGTTTGGGGAAGGAGAGCGAGGTGGTTCTTTGCGTATCTGTGATTCCTTTCTCTTTCCGTGCTGAGAGCAGACGACGCGTGTCAGCACCCTGCAAACCCTTTACCAAATCCAGAACAGAAAACGGGAGGTAAATTGCAGCTTCCCTCGGGTTTTTATTACGCCATTAGAGGGTAACAAGGATGGAGAGGATGTGTCCAGTGCTCTCAATTCCTCTTCCTCTTGTCCCTGGCAGCACAGGCAGGCAGATCCACCCTCACCTTCGACCCTTCCTGGACCGGCTGGCTCCAGTCCTCGGGTGTGAGCCGGTTTCCTCCCGATCACTCCCTCCCTGTTGTAGGGCTTGCAGTTTCCCGTGCTGGGATTCCATGCTGGGGGTTGGGTGCTTGCATGGCAGACACACAGCCCTGTTGCAGTGTCCAGTGCTACCAAAAGAATGGAGAGAGAATGAGTGCCCACACTGCGGCCAGCTCTGGGGCAGAGGAAGCTGCAAGCTCTCGAACTGGAACCACAGTTCACGATGGAGGCCAGGGTTGCCCCCCAGGGCCACAGCCCCATTTTCAGGCCACTGTCCTTGCTGTCTGCAGGCGGCTCCGGTGCCTGGTGCGGGGGTGGGGGGTCTGTGGTTTAAGAGGAAGCGCTCAGTTCCAGATGAGAGGAGAGTCCTGCTCCCGGTTCCCTGGCTAAGGAGCTCTTACCCTCTGTTAAGCAAACCCATCTGGTGTCCCTGCACTGCGCTGGGCCAGCACCCAAGCCAGCACTGCTCAGTTAAAGCAGAAACTATAAAGCTGAGTGCTCAGAGCTCAGAGCACTCTGCTCCTAACCCCATCTCTCTGAGTGTGCATTCTGACCTGCACATCTCTCTAGCTGCACGGCTCTACTCCCGGAACATAAGTGTGTGTGAGAGGGCAGACTGGGGGACAGGAAATGCTAGTGCCATCCGCATGCCCAGGAGGTTGTTCAGAAAAGGCCCCGTGAAGATGCCCAGAGAGGACAGCTTGCACAGGGCAGTCCCGCAAGTGGGTCTGACCTTCTGTGGCTTCCCCTTCCTCAAGTCCCTGGTGGGCGTCTTGAGGTTGCTGCTCCCATCTTGTGTTTTTCCTGGCCAGGCAGAGGTGGTGCCTCAGAATTTCATATCTTACTCCACCCGGGTGGTGGGCGGAGAATGTGCCCATGGAGATGCCTGACTTTTCTTTTTAATCTGGTGGTTTCACAGTTTCACCCAGAAGTACCCGCCAGTGAAGTTCTTATCCGAAAAGGATCGAAAAAGAATTTTGGTAAGTGTTCCCCTCTGGTGATAGTGGCTTTTTCCTGAGCTGCTTGTGCGCACATTTGGGACAGCACCACACCCTGACTGCAGTGGGGGAGCCCTATACCCACCGGTTACCGCTCCCTGGCTCCTGGCAGCCGCCCACACCATGTCTGTGTCTGCGATCGGCCTCATTTGCACATCTCCTGCGTGCACCAGTGCAGCACATGGCCTCCTGCGCTGTTTACTCAGCGAGGCAGCATTGCCAGGTGTACCCTGCTGCAGCTGTGGCAGGAAGCAGTTGGCAGCCTTTCCTTCGGCAGAGCCACAGGCCGGCGTGTGGGGCACCGAGTGTCCCCCTCCATTGCTCGGGGACAGGCATTAGCAGCGCTGCCCACTCGAGGCCAGCCTGAGTGACGCTGCCTCTCCTTATGTGTATGGCTTGTGTGTAGCTGGCAGTCCCTGCCATGCCTGGGACCATGCCTAGAGGCTGCTGCGTCATATGTCAGTCCTCCTGTTAGCTTCCCGTGGCAGTGTGAAGCTTGCAGAAGAGTGAGGAGTTTCTAGCTTTTCTGGTGCACAGATCCTTTGGTGGGTACCAGGGGCTTCCCTTGCTGAGTCACCTTATTAAACATCAGCACAGATTCACCAGTGCACGCCCGCTATAACTTGGCCAGAGGTTGTACCTGTGCATCTTTTTCCTAATAGCTATATTGAGATGTAAGTCATGTGATAGTTACTTCATCCTTTGACATGTACAATGCGGTGGATTCTACTATAAACCCAAGCGGTGCACCTCTTGCCTTATTGTGGCTTTGAATCTAGAGCGTGTCTTCCTTAGTCCATCTGTCCATCCTCAGCTCTGGTTTGGAATTTTGGTTTCCGACGGGCTTTTTCTGCAAGTGGCCTGCTGAGCCGAGCACATCCCCACGGCGGTGGAGACCTGGACCCTTCCCTGCACTTCCCTCTGCCCTGCGTGCCTCTGCTTCTTGAAACGCTGTCTTCTGTTACCTGTGAGTCCCTCGTGCCTACCCTAGGTGCACCTGAACATGGGAGACCGCGCAGGGCGGTGCCGGCAGAGCTGTGCCGAGCTGGCGGCGCTCTCACTTGTCTGTTCTGTTCCGTTCTGTTCATTCCATTCTGTTCCATTTCGTTCCCGCTTCTTATGGCACTTACCTTAAACCTTCTGCTGTCTATGTCACAGGCCAATAAGGTGCTCTTAGGTTTCCTACTTTACTCAGATTAATGGTTTTCCAAAAAGCCAAGGAAGAGGGAGGTGATATTTATAGGATTTGTTAGACCAACCTTATTATCATATTTGGATTCCCACAGTTGTTCCTGAGTTTGAATTAAATTCATCTTCATTTCTTGCTACAGTGTAGCTTTGGTCTCTGTGCTGAAGTTGTCAAATTTCCTTGCATATTACAGGGACCAGAAATACAACTACCTTTGTTTTTGATACATTTAAGTTCTTTTTTGTGTGTGGTGAAAGGAAGCATTTATAATTCATCATTATAACCATTTCACCATGCACTCTGCTGTGCATTTGGTGCTAGAAAAGGAAGATGTGTGAGTGTGCAGGCCGAGGCCGACTGGAGGCCCTTCTGTGCCCCTACCGTGGTACGGCCCTGGGCTTGCCTGCCTACCGTGGGGCACAGCTGGTATTCCTCAAAGATCTGCTCACAGTGATTAGCATCATTTCTGGTTTAATCTGGGATGGCTTTGTGTTGTTATTTCTGATTGTTAGTTTTGGTTGTTAGGTACCTGTTCTTTTCTGACAGGTTTTATGGTTTATTTTCTTTTTTTCACTTTGAATATATGCTACATTACTTGTTACGATTAATTGGCTACTAGTTATGTTGAAATTCTGTTATCTTAGACAAATCATTTTTCTTCCTCTACTGTATTTTTAGGATTCCATAACAGTTACCACTGTTAGCTTAATACAAGTCCTATAAAGGTCATGACAACTCAGCATTCTGGAATTCTGGAACCAAGGTGTGGCCAGATTGTCCCTTGCCTGTGTCCAGCTCCTAGAACTACCAGTCACCTTCCTCTGTCCTTGACTGACGTGAATCCATCGCTGTGTCCTGCTCGTCCTCTTGTGCCTCACACAGAGAATTGGCCCATCAGTCACACCTACTGCAGTCACATTTTCTTTTCCTTTTTTCTTCTTGAGACAGGGTCTCTATGCAGTTCAGGCTGACCTTGAGCTCACTTTGTAGCCCAGGCTGGCCTCAGCCTCCGCAGTGTGAGCACTACCACGCCTGGCTGTCCTGTTTTCAAAGAAGGTTGTGTTGTGCCATTTGGAAGGATGTGACTCTGGCAGAACAGTGATCAGCTCCCTGTAGTTGCTTTCAGAAGAAGCTTGTCTGTTGCTCGATTTCCAGCACATTTTGTGCAATTAGCTGTGTACAGATGCTTTTGTTTGTGTTCTACTCTGGGCTTCTTGGACGTTCAGCATGTTCAGCCTTATCTCTTGCAGTTTTTCCTGTTCTTTCCCCCTTCCTTCAGTACCCCACTACACGCCCTGTGTTTTAGCTGCAGGCTCTGTCTGGTGTCCTATATTTTTATATCTGTCCTTCAGTTCACACCACCCTTCCAGGCTGAGTTGGTTGATACTTTTCCCAATTCCAGTAAACTGTTGAGTCTCTCAGTTGGGTTTCTCTTCTCAGTTGTGGTACTTTCTTGCTCTAGAATTTTCATTTGTTTCTGTTTCATGTTCGTCCCCTCCCTTTTTTTAAATTTACCTTAAACATTGACTTGTTTAGTTCTGTGAATATATTTATGATGTCTGCTTTGAAGTCCCTGCTGTATCCACATCTGGATCTCACACAGGCAAGTGTGTTAATTTTCCTTTGTATGAGGTTTGGTTCTGTTTCTTTACGTGCTTCCTAATTTTGTGGAGACATCTAGACCTCGTAGGTGACACATTGCAGCAGCTTTGGATATGTTTTCCTGGCTCATTCTGACCTGTTTTATTGTTTATTTGCCTGGTTAGTGACTCTGCTATTTTGTTTCAGTGAAGTCTACTTCTACCAGGCTGTGAAGCTCCTGGCACTGTGGCCCTTGGGTGATAGCAGTTCCAGTAGGCTGTGGTTGGCAGCCAGGCTGTGCCGCCCCAGGAGGGTGACCAGACTCCATTGTCCTCAGCCAACAGGCCGTGAGATGCTGGTGATCTGCTCTTCCTCTCAAGGTTCCGTCTCTGAACTCAGGGCCACACCCGGCACATTCACCCACTCTGAACTCTGGGGGTCACAGACTTGTGTTCTTGCGGAAGTTTGGATTTTCTGGAAGTGTTACGTGTGAGCCTGTTTAGGCAGCTCCCAGAGGCCTTCACTGCGTTCTCAGTTGTCCTCAGTGGTGGTGGTTACTTGTTGGGAAGCAGGTCTGTGGAGCGCCATGGCACCAGTGATTTACCGTGCCCGCTGTGCCATGGTTGGGTCACTGGCTGGGTTCTCTTCCGCTACCTGTCCAGGTCGCATGGCTGCACTTTCCAAAGGCCAGAACATGGCTTCTACTCCTGAGGCAGTCTGACTCTGCCCACTGACTGCTCTTTTCTTATGCCTCGAACACTTCTCCTCCGGGCAGATTGTTGTGTTGGTCGGTGTGCGTATCCCCGTCTTTTGGTGTTAAATTATGGGTACGTTTGAGCATGAATTTAGAAGCAGGTCTGTGTCAGCAAAAGTCAGCATAGTTCAGCGCTCTCATCTCTCTCTGGGGCCCTGCCTGAGGTCGATTGCCATATCTGCGGGTGTGTGCTGCGCCTGTTGTATGTTGTTAACAGACCAAGACAGACAGTGGACAGAGTGTGGGTCTACTGGCACACTTTCTGGAGCCTGGTGGGGGCCCTTGGTACGGCATGGGCAGTCAGAGAGCAGTAGGGTGACAGGAGGAGCTGCTTTCCAGTAAGGGAAGGCTTCAGTGCATAAAGTTGGGGTCACCCTCTTGTGGCACTGCAGCCCTAACAGTGCCATTGTGAGTCCCGTGGGGAAGTAGGTGGGGACCTTCCCCCGCCCCGCAGAGCCAAGGACTCTGTTCTCCTTAGGCAGCTCTGTGGAAAGCGGCCTGTGCACCTCTCCCTTTGGACTTTGAGGTCTTAGAGTCACTGCTGCCTGGGGCTAAAGCTTTTTCAGTTGTCCCTGAAGCCTTAGGATAAAGAGATTTATGTGGAAATATATTCTTTCTTGGAAATATATTCTTCTTTGCTGATTGGCAGAGCAGCATGAGCTGGAAGCCTGCCAGTCCTGGGTCACAGGCACCTCCTCTTAGCACCCACAGGACCAGAACCACCCACGCGCCTTGAGTGTGGAAAGTCTGGGCCAGGCAGGCCTTCTTGCAGGAGAGCACTCCTGTCTTTTCCCCTGTGGGCTGTGTGGGTTCTTTGTTATGCAGACAGCCTGCATGGTTTTGGAGATGCCTCTTCCCAGGGAGCCTGGCAGGTTGCATGGCTTACTTATTTGCAGTGCGGCCTCCTGGGCCAGAATTGAGTAGGGAAGAGAGTATAAACCTACCAGCTACCTTACATAAATCCTTGAGGAAATTACAAAACTTGAAAGACAGAAACAAAGAGCTCCAGTGTGTTTTAGTCCAGGCTGAGGTGCTTCCAGCCACTTTACATCGCGGCTGATGCTGTTGAAATCTTGGGGTGATGATGTTGTGATTTAACGGCTGCGTTTCTGCTGATGCAGGTGCCGCCAAGTATTCTGGGCACATAAATCAGATCAGAGTGCTGCAGAACTCTACTTATCCTTATTTTCAGACACATTTGTATAAAAATAGAAGGTTATGTTAAAGAGGTTGTGTTTCTGTTTAGAAATAATTTCTTCTGGTTTAAAAACCTCAAAAATGTTGGGAAAACTCAACAGAGCAGTGTTAGAAGGAAATGGAAGCTCGTCCCTCGAATTAAAGAGTGGCGCACCTGAAGTTTTAAATTCCAGTGTTTTCCCGAAGTCCTTTCTCACACTGTGTAGGCACACAATAGAATGCAGGCGTATCCGTCATTTTCAGTTTCTGTCACAAAATGTTCCCCTCATAAAGAGGAGGGAGTTCTTCAGCTCATCTGTGGAGGCTGGAGTTCCCACTTTGGGCAGTCCCATGGTCTCTTCCAGGAGGGACAGCAGAGTGGACAAGGACATGGTGGTAGTGGGCATGGGAAGACGTCACATGGCCAGGCATTGGGTCACAAGCTACCCATTTACATGACAGTTTGGGTCCAGGTTAACACTGCATCCTTTTCGGGGTGGTTTACCTAATCTCTGCATTTTTCAGATCACAAGTAAAGGAATCCTAAACAGCTGCAGTAGTAGTGAAGTATATACACTTGATGTTGGGCTCCCTGGTACTGCATCCAGGCCTGTGTGGGTGGCAGAACACAAGGATGTTGAGTCTGTTGTGTACAGTGGTGTAGAGCTGGGTGCTCTGATTAATCTCTAGGTGTCACACCCTTGCAAGGCCCAGGCTGCATTGACCAGACAGAGACCACAGCAGAAAGGAGGTCTGTAGCGTTAAGTGCAGCACAGACCTCTTGGGCCCAGCCACATTGTCTGCCCATGGTCCCTCAGCTGGTGGCTGTGGAGCCTGCTGCAGGCCTTGCCCAGCACCTTCACCATCACACACTGACCTTCTTATAAAGCTTGCAGCAGAGACACTGGCAGCTGGGCCATGGCTTAGCTGTGTGAGCTGCCGGGCAGGGGCCGCAGTCTGTGGCCTACCTTGTTGTCCCCAGGGTGAGCTACTGTCCTGCTTGGGGCAGGTGTGAGGATGCCCCTGAACCCTAGCCCTCCGTATCCTGTATCTGACTCCATATTCATGCGAGTTGCAGCCGGGCCAGTGGCGTATGTGTGCAAGGACAATTACTTCCCATGCTCACGCACCCTTTCCGGCCGTGCTCTGCACACGCTGTCCCCACACAGATCACCGGTGGTGCGGGGTTCGTGGGCTCCCACCTCACAGACAAGCTCATGATGGACGGCCACGAGGTAACAGTGGTGGACAACTTCTTCACGGGCAGGAAGCGGAATGTAGAGCACTGGATCGGCCACGAGAACTTTGAGCTCATCAACCATGACGTGGTGGAGCCCCTGTACATTGAAGGTGAGACCCCATGCGTGGTGTTGCCGTGTGGAGTGCGTGTCATGTCATGTGTGAGGCGGTCTTACTTCAGGGTCCTTGAGGGCTTCTGTGGTGAGGGACAGTCGTCACGCAGGGCCCCTCTGTCCTCACTGTCACTGAGGGTGAGCATCAACATGATGTACCTCTGTGAACCCGAGGGTGTGGCCCTCAGGGACCAGGTGGTGGCCCTGAGGGGTGATGAGGCATGCGGTGAAGCCCTCAGGACTGGCTCAGTGTCCTTCTCTGGGAGCCCAGAGGCCCACCTGGCCCTGTGGGGCCCTGCACAAACTGCGTGGATCTGGGTCTTCCCAGCCCCAGGGTGGGGAGAGATGCCTGCCCGTGGGTCATGGTGTTGCCGTGCTCAGCGGCACCCCGCCCCACAGGGGCAGGCTGCTTGTGTGGGAGCACACACTGCTCCTGAGAGGTTGGCTGGTGCGGAGCCGCTGTGCCTGGGGTCTTGGACACGGTGTATGTTAAAGGCTGTGTCTACAGCAGTGCCACAGGCAACCTTGGCTGGGGCTCCCAAGGTCACTGGGCTGCACCTTTGAAGGGCCATAGCACCACCTGTCCTCCCCCTTCCTGTGTCCTGCTTTGGGCTGTGAGCCGTCTCCCTCTGCACACTCTCCTTTCACCCGTGCTGTGTTCACTGGAGGCCTAGAGTGAGACCCCACGTCGTTTTGGACTGGCACCTCCAACTCTGAGCCAAAGTGATCTTTCTCCTTTCTGAGTTAGCCATCTCTAGGGTTTTGTTACAGTGACGGAAAGCTGACTGACCCAGGCACTGCAGTTCTAACGGCAAGGCCTCTGCAGCCTTGAGACTTCGGGACCACAGTTCAGGGCTATAGTGCAGTAGTTTGTGCCATGGCTCCTGAAAGGATTTGTCTACATCCTGACTCCAGAACCCGAGACTATGCCTTCATGTACAAGAGGCCACTGCGCACTCTCAGGAGTCTCTCAGCTGGTCTAGCCAGGATTCCCAGGCTGTCCTCTCTCCAACGGGGGTGTCCTGGGGTACCTAGATGGGTGTCCAGGGAAGAGGATGAGGAGCACTGGGCCAAGGTGCAGCCGGCAGAGGCCAGGAGGGCTCTACCTGAGCCTAGCTGTGCCTCCTCAGACTCCTGGAGAACAGATTTCATCTCTGGGATGCTGTCGCTGAAGCAGCCACAGGTGCCCTACCCTCGCCACCACGGATGGGGGTGGTTCCCGTGTCGGGTGGGGGGCCCTGGGGAGCCCACATCATCACCAGAAATGCCCACTGTGTACCTGTGCTGGGGTCAGTTCATCCCTTGAAGGTTCTACCAGGTTTTGTTGTGAACAGCTTACGGCAGCTCTGCTTGGTCAGCCGTCCACTTGTGAGCCGGGCGGGCAGCAGTACGTCTCTTCCCCTCGGGGGCTCAGGCACTGAGAACGCTCTCTGTACGGCAGGAAAACAGTTTGATGCAGCTGTGGTTTCTGAAGAGTGAGACTTGTAACATGATTAATTCGCACAAGAAATCCCACTGCTTCTGTTACCCACGGTTAGAACATGCTGAGTTTTTCTTCGGAGGACTGTTAGCCATGGGTGGAGGGTCAGCGTGTTTCCCCTAGCTAGCTTGTCGCCTTCTTGTTTCATTGAGATTTCATATTTTAACACAGTGCCACATGTTCATTTTCCCTTTGCTGTTTCTTCTCTTCTTTTGTGCTCTAACGGTCCCAAGACGAGATAAGCATTGCATATAATCTAATACTTTTAAAGCAGCCTTGGTGGGTTTTTGTTGGCCTTTTTTGCCTCATTTTTAAACCTCGTTACTTAATCTGCTTGGAATCCACTTTGACTTGGGCTGTGCTTTCTGAAGCATGACACAGTTAATCCTGTGGAGGTCAGCCCCCCACTTCCTGCCTGGCCTTCCTATGAGCGCTGTGGGTAGGCTGAGGCAGGCAGGCTTTGGAGGGCCCTGCTTGTGCAGGGCTTTGCCAAGGCAGCTGTGACTACAGATAGAGGCAGAGACTGTGCTGGTGAAACTGAGTGATGGACCCTTCCCACCAGCAAGACAAGGGCCACAGCAGGCAGCAACTCAAAGGGGGTGTGATGCCTGGGGTTCAGTGAGAGGGATGTGAGCGAGAGGCACGGTGGAGGGAACTCGATGGGCACAGTGGAAGGCCCAAGCTGTGTGCCACCTGTGAGAGCCCCGACGGTGCCCCGCTGACAGCTAGCGGAAGACGCGCAGGCTCCAGCCTGGTAGGGCTGTTTATGAGTGCCCCTGGTTGTCCCCTGAAGGAAGGGGCTGCCCCTGGGGACACCTAACTCCAGCCAGGACAGGCAGAGCTGCAAGCCTTCCAGGCACTGTGCTGACTTCGGAACACACCCTGCAGCCCAGACAGGTGGCGAGGAGGCCCCTGGCTTCATTTAGGAAGTGGGAGCAAGTGGCCACAATGGCCCCCACAGGCCAGCTGCCTTTCTGTGGTCATTTGGTACAGAGTGATGTCGTTATTGCCAATGAAACTGCCGTAAGGAAGAAGTCTGTGGCCTTCGGAGCTGAGCTTCACATTCAGCACCAAAGCTGCATTGGGTCATCTTGGCAGCTCTGTCTGTAACATGTACCACACGCCTGTGCACACAGATGCACGCCCACAGATGCGAACAGTGGAGTCATGGCAGGTGACTGGCAGCCTTGACCTCTGCTCAGAGCAGTTAGTCGCTCTCTCATCCTTTCTGTTGGGAGAGCAGGAGCATCTCCCCACTTCTGAAGCCGGTTTGTAGCTTCTGGCCTTCGTGCTGGCCCTGCCCCAGACCACACTGTTCCCTTCCCTCCATCCTACACTGTCAGCAGCAGCACGCGTGGCCCACTGAAGCCCTCCCAGAGCAGTCTTCACAGTTGGCCACTTGGCAGAGCCTGGCACGGTTTTCACTGCGCTCCTGCAGCCCTGGGCTTGCGCTTTGCCGGCTCTGCAGGACTCTGGTCCTGCGCAGTGCACTACCCTATGCGCACTTCTGGTTCGCGTGCCCGCCTGAATTAGGCTTTCTTCCCACGGAAGTGGAAAGCCCCTCAGTGCAGTGCCCACTGTGCCTGGGGAGCTCGGTGGTGCTCGTGAAGGGGCTGGGTGCCAGGCACTGTGGGGCCAGCACATCTCCTCTCCTCTTGCCTCACATGGGGGCGACCGAGGCCCAGCACCCATTCTGCTCCCCACTAGGTACCTAGGTGCTTTAGTTAGATCCTCGGTGCTGCTGGGGCACAGGTCCACCATCCCATACACATTTCTAGTGTGCTTTGTGGAATTCTAACTTAGGCGTTTCTGTCTCAGCTTTGAGTTTCTGCTGCCAAAGTAAGTGTGACCTGCAAAGGCAGCAGACCATCTGGTCTGTGATGGAGCAGTGGGGCTCCCAGAGCAGTGGGCGTAATGGCGGTGACCTCATACAGTGGTGTCACAGGAAGACAAGGCCCTCAGGTTGACCCAGGTGCCTGCCGGCCACTCCAGGGCTCTGCCACTGCAGCCTCCTAGTTAAGCAGGGGCTGTTTTATGCCAGTGCAGGCCCCTTCTCACTTTCCTACTTCTGGGTGCAGAGAAGTTTGAGAACCTGTTGGGATAGGACTGGGGTCACACTGTGGGACTGCGTGCTACTCGTGCTGGGTACCCCCATGAGTTATCGGCTGTCCCATGGGCTGTCCTGGGTGCTTGTTGCTGCTGTGCCAGGAGCTGTGACACAGGCCCCAGGCACCAGAAGGCAGGTGAGTCACGGAGACAGCAGCAGGTGTGGGCACAGTGTCCCCTCTGGTAGCAGCCTCTGAGCCGAGGCTCGGGTTGTACATTCTGCAGTGCTTTCTCCTCCTGTTGATGTGGTGTCGGGGTGGGATTCAGGCACCATGGACTCATCAGTGGGGAGCCGTTTGTGGGGTCCCTGTTATCCTGCCCATCTCTGCGCCCACATGGGCCCCACACCCTTGGAGGATCCGGCTGTCGGCCCTGGGGCTCATTTCCTGGGCTCCTGCCTTGAGCGTGCAGGATCACAGCCAGCCCACTTGGCGGGAGGCCAGCCTCCTGGGCACCACTGCCCTGCAAACGAGCGGGCAACGCCATGCCTCTCTGCTGGCGCCATCCACTCCAGCTCAGGCCTCGGAGCGTCACACCCACATTGGGTGCACTCCGAGTTGCAGGCCATGTTTGGGGATTTTCCATGGCTGTGCTGGTGATTGACTGCTCGGCTCTGTTTGCATCCGGGCCACTGTTACTCACGTCTCTGTACTCTAGCGCCAGCGTGGCCTAGTTATTTACTGCTGTGCTGAGGGTTTGCTTCTGTCCCCTTGGCATCCTGTCCCAATTGGTTAAATCAGCGGACTGTACAGTGTCCTTTTGAGGAGAACGCTGTGGTGACTCCCCAGGGAGGAGGGCTGCAGGAGCCCCACTGCTCCTGAGGCATGGAATGTTGCCCAGTATGAGTGTCCCTCAGTGGCCAGGAACAGCAGGGACTGTTGGGGCTGGGGAAGCAGCCAGGTGGAGCCGCTTTTGGGGAATCCTCTTGTTAACCCAGGGCACCTGGAAGGCAGGTGTCTTTGGATGAGGGCTCTCAGGCCACTAAGTTGGGACTCTGGGTCCTGTGTGCCCCAGATTGCTGAGGGGCCTGCCTGCCTGCCACCAAAGCTGTGTGTCAAGGGAGGAAGGAGAGTGGGCATGCCATGTGTGGCAGGGAGGGAGGCATGTCCCGGTCACTTGGCCTGCCGTTGTGGCAAGCCAGCGCTGTGGTGACTAGCAGGAAGAGGGTGTGTGTGTCCAGGAAGCTCCTGCACTGGTCTCAGTTGTGCCTGGGTGAGGAGGCGGGCTGTGGTGCTTCCTCCTGGCTCAGAACAGCGCCCCGTGCCAGCTGGTGCTTCTCTCGAGCCTCTGGGCCAGTGTCTAGCCCCTCCGCTTGGCTGGAGCCTGTGTGTTGGACTGCATCTGATCATCTGTCCCACGGGAAGCTGCTGTGGTATGGGGGCACGGGGTAGCAACAGAGTCGGGCCGAAACTGGGTCGGCTGCGCCACCTACCTCAGCCGATGTGCAGAGCCGGGTGCTCAGTGGGGAAGAGCAGGCTCATGGTGGCTCACTGCTCCAGAGGCCCCGTCCCCAGCCTGTGGTCCCTGTTGCTTTGGGGTTCTGGTGATGCTGACATCAGGATGAGGAGCCTGTGGGAAGCTGCTGCTCACGTCCCAGAAAAAGAGCACCCAGAAGAGGGGTCTCTCTGTCCACCTCCAGGCCTGCGATGCTGGGGCCTTCACAGCATGCTGCGGTCCAGCTCCTGCTGGTCCACTCCTTGAGCTGCAGGACAGACAGATGCGGGATCACAGGCCTGCGAGAACAGTTGCAGCCGTCTCGTCCCGTGCCATGCCCGTGACACAATGGCATTTGCTTTTCATTCTTAGCTATGCATCAAGTGGCGGAACTTGTGGAGTGGGGAGAGTCGCAGGGTTTCCCCAAGAGACCGGCTTTGCCCTGTGGGAGGGTGGGGCTCCTGGGACTCAGTGACCTCTTCACTGACCACCTCCTAATACTACCCACCAGAGTCCACACTGGCCAGCACCCCCTAGCCTATCCCTGTGCCCAATGCAGCACACAGATTGGGGGCACAGGGGCACCAGCAGCACTCACCTGGGACTGCACCTTTTCATCCTGGTTCCCAGCTCTGCTGCCCTGTGCCAGGCATGTGTCCTGTCACCTGGAGCTGACCTGGACCGCTGACTGTTCTTGGTGTGTCTGAGCTTCACCGCCAGTTCCCGGGGAGAGATCAAGCCCATGCTGAGTGCGGCTTGGGCAGCAGGGATGCAGTTGTCCATGTTAAACTGAACTCCTGCACTCGGCAGGCTGCGTGAAGGCCGGGGAGGTTTTGCCATTTGTGGCTTTTCTGCCGATGCCTCAGCCATCACTCAGGTGGGTTCTTTATGCAGGATGCAGAGAAACAAAACCAGACTTCATACTCACACTTTTCTACATTGTGCTTCTAAGGTTGGGTTTGCCTCACAGGCTGAAAACACAGCCCTTACCTAGCGTCTCAGTTACTTTTCTCACTGCAGAGACAAAATACCCAATAGCCAGGGTTAAAGGGGGAAGGGTTTATTTAGCTCACAGTTTGTGGAGGTTTCAGTCTGTAATCAGCTGGCTCCAAGGCAGAGTGGCTTGGCACAGGGGCAACAGTTCATAGTAGCAAAAGGCAGCAAGAGCCAAAGCGGGAGGAGACAGAGGTCTGGCCCTTTTATCCAGGCTGTTGGAATGAGATAATCCAACCAGTGGACTGATCAGTCACCCAGCCTTACTCACAGCATCGAGCCATGAGTCAATGACAAACACTAGATTCAGCTCCAGATAAAAGTGCACGGGGCTTTGGTGGCCATCCAGACACAAGCCATCAGGCCTAGATAGGCTTCATTCTGCCCTGAAGTTGTGTGCTATGAGCACATCACTTAGGACATCAGAAAGCGAGCGACTCTGATCAGTGCTGCTGGTTACAGCACGGGCTCTGCACTGTGTCTGTGGATGCGCAGGCTTCCCAGTGGGTAAAAGTCTCCCGACTGCAATCACAAGGGGCTTTCGATGGACGATAACAGGTGGAAAGTTGGAAGGCCGAGGAAAGCTCCATCAACGCTGGTACTTTACAGGGTGACTGACCCTAGGAGTCCTTTCAGGGCTTCTTGGGGTGAGTGTGCGCCTTCTCTCCCGCAGTTGACCAGATCTACCACCTGGCCTCTCCAGCCTCCCCTCCTAACTACATGTACAACCCCATCAAGACGCTGAAGACCAATACCATCGGGACGCTGAACATGCTGGGTACGTTGTCCCCACCCCTTGCGCGCTCCCGCAGCTGTCCCCTGGGTCCTGGAGGGATGCACTCCCAGGACTGCAGACAGCGCGGGACGCGCAATCACACCCTTTCCGCCCTGGCTTAGCCTTTACCACCCACTGTGGCTGCAGCTGTTACAGTCTGAGGTGCAGCAGCAAAACCAGGGCACGTTTCGATTTCTTTCATGATTTCAGATGGAAGATGCATTCTTACATAGAGCACAGTATCTTCAGCATGGACTTCTGTCTTTCCTCACCTTGAGGTCTCTCACCTTTTTACCTCAAGGGAGCTCTATGCACTTTGGCATAGCTGAGCGCTATGGGGTACTCCAATACTCTCAGGGGTATTGAAGTTCAGACAATTTGATAGTATGACAGTTGGTGAAGGTGACTGCAGCGTAACTGATTGGTAACAGGCACAGCATGGGAACCAGGACTACAGGGGCCTCCCAACCCGGACAGGACAGAGAAGGGCAGCTCAGAAGAGCGTGCAGGTGAAGACGTAGGAAGCATTTGTTTCTGGAATTTCTGAATCTCACCTATTTTCAGGTCACAGTTGACCACAGAGAGCTAAAACTGGAAATACAATTATGGCCCAGGGGACGGCAGTAGTTGGAGGTCCCCACAGAGTTGGACCCCTGCTTCATTGGCCCACCCAGCCATCTGACTGGTTCGCAGTACCGTGTGACCTGTCATGGGAGGCATCCGACTTTCATACCAGTCAGGAACTGGTCCTTGAAGGCTCACTGTAGATGCCTTGTGCTTGGCCACCCAGTGTCCCTCACCTGTCCCTCAAAGGCAAGTGTCCTGTGGCCACCTGGGCTGGGTCCTGGGGCTGCAGCCAGTCTCGGGGCAGGCTGGCCTCCTGCACAGCTCTGTGAGCTGAGTTCCCACTCTGGGTGAGCGTAGCTGTACCCTAAAGGTAGCAAGTGTAAGAGTGAGGTCAGTGCCTTGGCCACCGACTCGTCCCCAGACGTGAGCCTCAAATGACAGTGCAGCTTGCTAGGCACATGTTCATGTGTAAAGTTTGGTGGCTTAGTCTTTAGGTGTCTTGGTCATTGGCAGAGTGGAAGAGAGGAGCCACTTCTTCAGATGCCAAATGGAAAATGGATTTAATTACAGGAAACTTGGAGCATGTTCTCTAAGTGTTTAGGACAGGCCTAAACGTTAGCCTCGGCAGAGTACAGGGCGAAGGTGTGGAGGGCTGTGTCAGGCGGGCTGCAGAAAGGAAAGGGACTTGGCAGTGACAGAGCTACAGGGAGGGTAGGACCCAGGGTCCACATTCAGAGCCACACCAGCTGGGCAGTCTCAAGTCCGCCATCCCAGGCTGGAGAGCAGGAGAGGCCAGAGAGCCAGACAGCCCAGGGCAGGCGATGCATGACCCAGGCCACCCCTTCCTCTGCTGTGTCTCCATCAAGCTTCATGGGATTGGATCAGGCTCCCCCACTGGGGAGGACTTCTGTCTCACAGGGCTCCCCACTCCCCACTGACCTCTAGGGAATACACGGGCGCTTGGGCCTCCTTCGGCCCCACCCTTGGCCCCCGTCAGGTTGTGCAGGGCCCTGACGTCAAGGGCGGGCTGTGCTGGGAGTCGCAGAACCCATCCCTGTGATGTGGGTGTGTTGGCTCCTTGCTGCTTCCCCCGCAGGGTGGGCTGTGGGGGGCAGAGGCTGCGCCTGTTCTTCCACTGCAGGGTCCAGCCCTGCCTCACAGCTCCTCTGAAAGCCAGCTGTGCGCATGGCCACCAGGGGACAAGCTGCTTGTCCTGCACTCTGCTGACACTGAGGCAGCATTAGGTGTGGCCCCTCAGGGCTGCTGCAGGACCACGGTGTCCAAGGGCTGCTTTGTAGGTGGCAGCATCAGTGGCACAAAGCGGGAAGGGGCAGTTCTGAGATGGGCCAGTGCAGTGTGGGGGCGCTGCAGAGAGGACAGGGCCAAAGGCCAAGGGTGCCCGGGCCAGGGGGAAATGGCTCCCCAGGGTCTTGGGGTTCCAGCTGAGAGCAGCCATCAGGCACAGGAGAGCCAGCTTAGCCCCTTCTGGAGGCCCCAGTGAGAGGCAGCCACCCCTGCTTTGCCAGGGGAGGTCAGGAGATGCAAGGCAGCGTGGGGATGCAAGTCTCAAGAAGGCCCATCTGTCACACCTCACCTCAAAGAGCAGCAGCAGGTCAGGACTGAGCCTGCAGTGCCCTCTCAGGAGCCCCGCCTGCATTTCTTGTTTTTTTTTTTTTTTTTTTTTTTTTTGTCTTTTTCCTTTTTATCGGTACTGGGGATCGAACTCACGACTGCCAAAAAAACCCTCACAACGTGTGAGTTCCTCTTTCTCCACATCTTTGCATTTCTTGTTAGTTTGGCTTCTGTGTTGGTCCAGGGCCTTCACCACGCCTGGGTGGTGGGATAGGGTGGGTAGCCAGGCCCTCTGCCCCTTGAGCAGGGCTTCCCACAGTGGCCCTGATTGTGTCTTGCTTCCTGCAGGGCTGGCGAAGCGCGTGGGTGCCCGTCTGCTCCTGGCCTCCACATCAGAGGTGTATGGAGGTGAGTGCTGGGGCACCCCAGGCTCCCTTTGAGGGCAGGCCCCTGGCGTCTGTCCCTTCCTGCTGTTGCCTTGCTGCACACCCCAGGCGCAAACCCTGTCGCCTGCTTTAAGGGACGCCCAGCGGCTCCGCGGATGTGGATTCTCGTTCTTTCAGAGCCCTGTACCTGTCCTGGTGCCCACCCTGCTCCCTGGGTGCAGGCTGTTTGCTGGTTTTGGAGTCAGCTGCACCGGACGTGCGGTCATCTGCTTGTGTGGGTGGGGCCCACACTCCCTGTCCTGCCCTGCCGCCCAAGCCCGCCTGGCACCAGGACACTAAAAATGGGGCCAGGGGCCACTGCTCTGGGTGGCGCTGGTCCTGTTGTGGCCCCAGCTGGCTGGGAGAGCTGCTTGCTTCCTGCAGCTCCATGTTGAAGCCAGGCTCTAACACAATGTCCTCCTTCTGTGTTACATCATTGTTCTGATGAGAAAATGAGGAAGTCAAGGCTCAAATTGAAAGAGACACGAAAAACAAGGCTGTGTGGAGATGGTGCAGGGCAAGTTAAGTTCCACCATCCATGTGCCTCCTCACTCGGAGGTCCCAGGCGGACACACACTCCTTCCTGTGGGACGTCACTCTGCACGACGACGTCTTCCTCTTCACCTTACCCAGCCCGCTGCTAACCTGCACACCTGCTGGGAGCAGGTGCTCCCCAGTTCCTTATTTATTCCGGGCAGAGTGTGTGGACATTGATAAGTGAGCATTAGCTCCGTCTGTTAACCGCACAGAGTGCCAGTGCGGATGGGCGACTAGAAATCACATCTGACTGGACCTTCCCACTGCAGGACACAGTGGTCTCCCCTTCAGAGCCCCAGAGCGGTTTGGGAGGGGTCTCTCAGAAGCCTGGCCCAGGGCCTTCCAGACCAGCTGGTGCCAGTGAAGGACTGGGGTGGGGGATTACAAGCCTCCCCTTTTGTCTGCCTTAGCAGAAACGTGGGGCCATCTGGTCCAGGCTGGCAGCCGGGGTGGGCCCTGGCCCTTTGCTTGCACCTCGAGGTGGAACTGCTGCTCTGCACAGTGATTTTCAGCCGTGCTGGTGGGCGGCAAGCTCGCCCCGCAGGGTCCCAGAGCCTCGCTGGCTGCTGGTGACATCCACCCTGGGCTGTGCAGACCCTTGTCCCCATGAGCACTGAGCCTGAGGTCAGCAAGACAAGGCCCAAACGTAGTGGCCCTGTATCTTTTTCCAGATTTCTTGGCAGAAGTTTGCGCATCATTACCTGCTATGTTTGTATGCAGAGTAGAGATCTGGTCTCGATGTTGTAGATAAACTAAATATCAGCTCACATTCCAGAGATGCACTTGCTGCCTGGCTTCTCGGATCAGGCTGTGCCCTGGCAGATCTGAAAGTGTGACCCATGTGCACTCCAGGGACAGTAGCATTTAGTGGACGTTGCCTCCTGCTGCCTACCTGCCTGGGCCTCCAGGTCACCCTGCCTATTCTGAGCCGGCTCTGGGACAGCACGTGGAAGGTCATCAACGTCCAGGGAGCTACTATGTCCTGATTGTCCCACAAATACGTTTTACTCTATAATTCATAAGCATAAAGCTAAGCAGATACCACTTTACACAGACAGTTTATGTAAAAATCTGGAGCTAAGAGAAGTTTGTAGAGGAGAAGAAGACTTGAACATAGAGCCATGGCCTTCTGCTTTTTCCTATAAAGCGCTGTTTCCCTCGGGCCTCAGGCAAGGACCTGAGCCAGTGCTCACTGGGCCTGCAGCTCTGCTGCATATCGGACAGATGTGTTGTTCCTTGCCACATGAGCTGGGCAAGCCAGGAATTACCACTGAGACTTCCTCTCCACCCACAGATCCTGAGGTCCACCCGCAGAGCGAGGACTACTGGGGCCACGTGAACCCCATCGGGCCCCGGGCCTGCTACGACGAGGGCAAGCGGGTAGCGGAGACTATGTGCTACGCCTACATGAAACAGGTAGGCGTGGCAGGGAGGGCGAGAGTGCCTGCGGTCCTCTGCAGGAGGCGCAGTGCTATCAGGGCTCCCTGTGCAACATTTCAGGGTTGCAGTCTACCAGCACCAGGCACCGGGTACCAGGCACCAGGCGTAGTCACGGTGTTGAGTGTCAGAGGAGCTCTGTGGGGTGTGGATTTGGTTCCCTCTCTTCCTTTAATCTCTTGCCACTGATTCGAAGGGCAGGGCCCAGGAGGGAGGCGTTGTGTGGGGAGCCGGAGTGTGTGCTCTCAAGAAAGCAGCTGTTTACTGGAGGGAGTAATGGTGCCAGTTTCCCAGCACGGCCACCATCCTACAGCTTCTCAGCCACAGCTGGTGCGGTGGCCTCTGCTGCCATGGGGGACCCTGGCTTTCTGTGCAAGGTCTCCAGTTGCCAGGGTGTCCAATGAGCCTGTGACGGAATCAACAGGAGAGCCGTTCCTTTCTGGAGTCAAAATCAAGCTGCTCTGTCTCCTGTCCCACACGGGGCGCTGAGCATGCAGTCCCGGGCGGGGCACCCCCCTGCCCTGCGCCACTGTGTCCCAGCCTCACCCCTTCTGTTGCAGGAGGGTGTGGAGGTGCGAGTGGCCAGGATCTTCAACACCTTCGGTCCCCGCATGCACATGAACGACGGGCGGGTGGTCAGCAACTTCATCCTGCAGGCCCTGCAGGGTGAGCCGCTCACGGTGGGTGCCATTGCGGGCTGGGCCTTCCGCAGCCCAGGTCAGGTCAGCACAGAAGTGGGAAGGGTGCCTGAGCCTCACCTTGCCTCCCTCGTCAAAGCAGAGAAAGGAAGGGAGGCACAGGTGACAGCCCAGTAGAGTGCAGAGCGCCTGCCCTGCAACCCTTTGTCTGCATGTGGCTCAGGCTGAGAAGCACTGAGGGGTGCTGGGCCTGTGCCTGCTGCTCCTTAGGTTTTAGGGCAGGAAAGGGGATCACATGGCCATTGCCAGCCTGCACCCCACCCCCACCCAGGCTCCCACCACATGTGGGTCACCTGGGCCTTCACCATGGTCGCTGCAGCCCTGTGTTCTGTTCTGATGAGGGGCAGGTGGAGAGCCCTGCAGGATGCCTGAGCTGCAGTGGGGGGTTCCCCAGGACCCCAGGCAGTACCTGCACCCAGGGGGCCCCTGGAGGAGGCAGAGTCCTGCACAGCTGCCTTGAGGGAACCTTGCTGCTGCTGGTCGCCGCCTGGAAGTGCTGTGTGTGTTCCAGCCTCATCCCTGCCCCGCTCCCCTAGGGTTCTGTTTCCGGTCACCTGGGGGTTCCCAGGCCATTCCCCAGCCTCACTGTCGGTTTCCTTCCAGGTGTATGGATCTGGGTCGCAGACAAGGGCATTCCAGTACGTCAGGTAGGTGAGACTGCCCTGGGCCCAACCACAGTGGGCGGCTCAGCCCCATGTGCCTCAGTGACCTCTCTGCAGTGCTAACTTCAAATGGGAAGGAAGCTCCTGCTGATCCATTTTAACTCTGTTCCAGAGTTAAAATGAGATCCATTCCCATGACTCCCAGCTCCTGAGCGGCCCTGTGCTGCCACCTAGTGTTGGGCACTAGTGGAGCTGCCTGGCCCCTGGGTATTAGAGTTTTCAGCTAAGGGCTCCTGGCCTCTGTTCGCTGGTAGAGACCCTAAGCTGGGAGCCCAGCTCTGCTTAATCTCGGCCTTCTGCTGGGTGTAGGGGCACACACCTGTGAGCCCAGCACTGGGGCACTGAGGCAGGAACATGTGAGTTCAAGGCCAGCCTCAACTGTATAGCAAGACCCTGCCTCCAAAAAAGTAAAAAACACACAAGAAACCTCAGTCTGCTAAGCTGGGACAGTGAGTCCCGGAAGGAGCCAGACAAGGCTGTGACTCAATGTGGAGTCTGAGGCTGAAGCTGAGGGCAGAGAAACGCTGTGCGGGGCGGCTCCCGTGGCACTGCTCCCGTGTCCCGGCAGCACGCTGGGCCCAGCCAACATCGGCTATGCCGTGTGATGGGCACGGTGGGGAGCGTGCAGGATGGGCCCCGAGGCTGTGCCGAGGTTTCAGGGCTTAGAGCAGAGCACAGCCGTGCAGCACAGCTGGTGCAGTGTCTGTTGGTTTCTGGGCTCCTGCAGCAGTGGGAAGCCCGGTTCTGTCCTTTGCCTGCTGTAGTTTTGCCCTGTCGTGTAAGAAGCCCCAAATACCTGTCCTTCAAAAAGTACCTTGGAGCCTGGGACCACCCCGGGGTGCCGTAGGGGCTGCCCTGGCCCCTCCACAGCCACCACTGGACCTTGTCCCTCAGGTCAGGGTCTGTGTAGGCATCTTTGACAACTTAAAAGTTCCCACAGCTGCTGCAGGTTTCTCCTGAGCGTATTTGCAGTTTCTCACGTTTGTCCCAGAAGATGATACAGTACACATCCCTGCAGTCCTTGCTCTCCCGCGCATGGTGACTCGGAGCAGGGCAGCAGCCCTCGGGGACCATACTGGGGCGCAGCTGGATGAGCGCCCAGGGCCTGGCCCAAGGGGAGGCTGCATTGCAGCCTCCTGTCTGCAGAGCATGGCAGCAGCAGCCACTATGTGGCCCCGGCCCAGGCAGCTTCCCCCCCACCTCCGCTCCCCCAGGTGGATGAAGTCAGGCGCAGGGCTTCATGAGAGCACAGTGGCCACGCCTGTGTCCTGCTGCTCACAGGTCTCTGAGGCCGCAGGCCCCAGAATCACCTGAGCAGCCTCAGGCGAGTTCCGTGGAGCCCAGGGTACTGAGTAAAGAATTATAAGAACTCAAAGGTGCTGTGCCAAGTACTGGCCCATTCAGGGCAGGTGGTACCTCACTGGGCTACCCTGACAGTGTGGCTCAGCCCCTGACTCCTAGCATGTCCAGTCTCCCAGGCTACCCCAGACTCAGGGCCTGAGTGGCACCCCGAGAAGCACAGGTGTGGACCCTGTGGAAGTCCCCATCTGTGACCTGCCCTGCACCCTGCTATGAACAGGTTTGAGAGAGGTGACCAGCGCTTGGGGGCTGTGCACCATGCGGGCCCTCACTCAGCACCCCGCCAAGATGGTCAGCCTGCCACAGTTCTGCTGTTTTTTACAGGCTGCTTTTGTGGGATCAAGGATCCTTTATGTCACAGCAAAACGCATGGCATCCGGGTGGTGGTTTCTCCACGCAGTGGGCTGTTCCCAAGCCAAGGTGGCAGGCAGGAGCTGGAGCCCACTGGTAGCCATCCCATTACATTTTGGCATGACTGTCTGAGGTCCATGCTGGGGCATATCCTTCTTGCTGTAGCAGACATAGCATGGTGTGTTCTTTAAAAAGTCACTCTGTCAAAATGGCAGTTTGAAGCCTCAGGTTAAACGTTAAGATGTCTCCAGTCCTGACCTTTGAAGTCGCCGGCCCACTGTGTAGTAGATGGGCAGCCTCCCCCTTGGCCAAGGCAGCCACCTCCAGCTCCGGCTGGGAACCCTGGCAGAGCTCAGCGGCCATGCTGGTTGGAACCATGAGGGGCGCTGTTTGTTGAAGCACATCCAGCCTAGGGGCTGGGGTGACCACAGAGCCTCCCGAGGTCAGCAAGGCCTGGTGTTGCTCTGGAGCCATGAAGATGGCATTGCGAGTGTTCAGACGCACTACCCATTGGTTGAAAGTGAAAAAGTAGAAATGACTTGTTTTACCCCACTTTTCCAAAGTGTCAGTGCCATGTGATCCGGGATTCTGTCTGGTTCACCACAGCCCGTGGAGATCTGCTCCTCTGGTAATGATAGGCAGCGGGGAAGTTTGCAAGTGGGCTCCTTGGGCCACCAATACAGAACTCTGCTGACCTCTCAGGGCAGGTGCTGGTGCTCAGCAGTGAGTGTCATTTACCTTGGTAAGCGACAATTTGCTTACTTCTCCTCAGCTCCAGGGCCTGGCTGGTCACAGTCTGTTTGACACTCCCCACTCGCCGAAGGCTGCCCAGGTGTTCAGGGGCAGCAGGTGAAGCCTGAGGCGTGGGGAGCTGTGTCCCCTGGTCCAGCACCTGTGTGGCTCGGCCTTCTCTGTGATTTACCAGTGTGTGGGGGTCCCATCCTGGGCTCCATTCATCTCAGCGATCTTACTTTCTAAGCGATCACTGCTTCTGTGCCGTCAGTGCCCACGGCGTGTTGGATGTGGGCTTCCTGGGCATGGCAGAGGCCCTGTGTCGGGTGTGGCCTCTCCACCATCTCTGGATGAGTGTTCACCAGCACGAAGGGGCAGCTGCACTGATCAATGCCACCACCTTGTGTCATGGTGCCCACCTCTCTGCTGAACACAAACCCAGAGGTCACCATGTCATTGCATCCATGGGTACCTTAGTGCCATACATGCCATCTTGAGTTGCAGGGTGTTGAATGCCATCGGCTTTCCATGCAGGCTTTGTTGTGGGGAGGCCTTGTGCGTCCTTCCAGGGTCTGGGGCCTGCACTGGGAGCCCCACAGTGGGACACCTTACCACTCCTTCTCTTCCAGCGACCTGGTGAACGGGCTAGTGGCGCTCATGAACAGCAATGTCAGCAGTCCCGTCAACCTGGTGAGTGGCCGCCCGGGCTTCCCTGGGGCAGCACCGGGCCCTGCTTGCTGTGTGGCTGGGGTGGAGGGTGGCCACTGCTGTCCTCACACTAATAATCAGAAGCTGTGTCTTCCTCAGGGGAACCCTGAAGAGCACACCATCCTACAGTTTGCCCAGCTGATCAAGACCCTCGTGGGTGAGTAGGACAAACACTTGCCGGGCCAGACTGCCTGCAGGTACCAGCCACAGCCAGCGTTGTGGGTGGAACGGGCAGCTACGGTCCACAGAGCTTATAGTCAGGAGCACTTGATTGCTTTCTGATTCCTCACATAATAGAGATGGAGATGGGTAGGCTTTGTCTTGCTCGGTGGCTCTGTACCTCCAGGGCACGCAAGTTTGTTTCCAGACCTTGGTCCTGGTGAGACTCCGAGGTCAGAGGGCAGGGAGTGAGGTAGCCTGCAGGTTTCCAGTGTGTCTGGAGCTCTTGTTGCAGGTTGGCCCGGCTGAGGCAGGGATGCTGAGGGGCCTTGGGATGGCCCCTGTCCTCACCACAATCCCGTGCACTGGGTCCCCTCTGGGACTGATGGGGAGTTCACACTCAGGATGTAGCTGGGCTAGGCCTGGGTAGCAGTGGCTGTGAGGACTGCAGCCCCAGGCATGGACTTGCCATGTCCTCAGGCTTTGCCTGACTGGGCACTAGCCCTGTCCTGGAGGTTGGCATCTTACTGCACCAGCCCCACCACATGTGGTCCCTGGGCTTTGCACCAGGGTCTGTCTGTCCACCCTCCCCATGAGGCACCACTGCTGGGGACACTGTGACTGAGGCTACAGCACAGGACCCCACCCCCTCAGTCACCTCGGCCAGCATTGTGGGCAGAATGGGCAGCTACAGTGCACAAAGCTTGTGGTCGGGAGCACTTGATTGCTTTCTGATTCCTCAGGTATGGTTTGCTGTGTGACGGGAGCAGACCCAAGCGGGTGGTACCTGTTCCTACTCAACTCCTGTCTCCTTGTTCACACACACAGGTAGTGGCAGTGAAATTCAGTTCCTCTCCGAAGCCCAGGATGACCCTCAGAAGAGGAAGCCAGACATCAAGAAGGCGAAGTTGATGCTGGGCTGGGAGCCCGTGGTGAGTGCGGTTCCCACCTGCAAGCCTTGCCCTTCTCAGGGCCCGGGAGGTGTGGGCTCGCTGCATGCCCTAAAGCATTTCTCCAGTGCCCTGTGCGATACCTGTGCCACACCCTGAAGCCACGCGCTGGCACCATCATGAAGGTGGTATTCAGGGGGCTCAGCCCCAACCGGAGGGAGACGCCGCCTGCCTCCTGTGCCCTGGCTGAGCAGCCCCACTCTCCCCCACTGCCTGCTCCTCCCTGCTGCATGGCCCGTTCCCTCCCTGCGAGAGGCAGGGCAGGCCCACTGTGGTCATGCTCATGCTCAGAGCAGAAATGAAGGTGCTGGGTGGACTTGGAGCACCTTGGTGTGGACAGTGGGCACTGCTGCCACCCTGTAGGGTGCAGTCAAAGGCAGTGACTTACCCAGAGTTCACCTGGCCCCAAAAGCATCCCAGTAACCTGAGCCAGGGCCGCTGGAATGCCGAGCCCGGGGCCCCAGAGGCAGCTGCTCCCTTACCCCACAGTGGCTGAGGGCAGAGTCCACAGATGGAAGTCAAAGCGGGAGGGCACTGGCTTGACAGAACCAATGCCTCAGTGTGCCGCGGGCACCAGGCACATGACAGGTGTGGTACTGTGGGAGATTCACCGTGGCCCAGGGTGGACAGTGCCTGAATTTTAAGCAGAATCCATGGAACACAGCTAATGCTCACCCACTGTGGGAACCGAAGTAGGTCCCTTGGGGAGCCCTGTGCTTCCTGGGTCTCAGGGCACTGGTATCTGCTGCCCTTACCCCTGCTGGCACTGGTTCCCAAGGAATCTGGGGCAGTCTGAGAGGAGGAAATGTAGATGTCTTCCTCAAATTGCGTGATGTGTATGTGCTTGCACGTGTGTGCCCAGTGTGTGTCCCCAGTGCGCATGCCTAGTGTATGTGCCATGTGTTCACTGGGTGCACAGTGTGTGTGCCAGGTGCATGTGCCCAGTGCGTGTGCTGTGTGTTCACTGGGTGCCCAGTGTGTGCCCAATGTGCATGCCCAGTATGTGTGCCATGTGTTCATTGGGTGCCCGTGTGCGTGCCCAGTGCGTTCTCTGAGTACTGGGGTTTTTCTTATTTCTTTGAAGGTGCAGATAGAGCCCAGGGCCTTCACACTGAGCTAGGTCCCTAGTGCTCTTGTTTTCTATTTTGAGTCAGGCTCTTGCTTCGTCGCTAGATTCCCTAGGCTGGACTTGAGCTTGCAGTGTCCTCCGGCCTCCCTTAATGCCAGGATTTCATCTCTCTTTACGCTTAGAGTCAGCCGCTTGGCCGACACGTTTCCTGGCTGCTGAAGGCAGCCCTGGATATGGCTGCCTCGCTGCTGTAGGGCTTGTCGAGGCCCCTCTTAGAGGAGTGTGGAGTGCGGTGGCCTGTCCACGGGTGCAGAGGGCTGGTGTCGTGGGGAGGGCCGCGCTGTAGGTTGGGCCGGTGGCCCTGGACACATCCTTCCTTCACCGCGAAGCACATCCTTCGAAAGGAAGGACCCTGCAGGGTGCTGAAAGTGGTCCCCATGACGGTTATAGGGGTGAGGTGTCTCTCGGGGCTGGAGTGCCACACGCCAGACACAGCAAGTTCTGGAAGCAGCTCAGGGCCCACGGCCTCTCGCTGCAGTCTCCTCAGTGGCGTGGTTTTGTGGCTCCTGGAGGTGGCTAGAAGGCACCAGCGCTCCCGTCGCTGCCCCCACCTCCGCCTACTGTGTGTCTGCCCGGGTGACCATGTTTTGCTCTCTACCACCAGGTCCCGCTGGAGGAAGGTCTGAACAAAGCCATCCACTACTTCCGCAAGGAGCTGGAGTACCAGGCCAACAACCAGTACATCCCCAAGCCCAAGCCCGCCCGGATCAAGAAAGGCCGCACGCGGCGGACCTGAACCTGCGCCCTCGGTATGGACTTCAGTTTTGTTTCCGTTTAAAGACCTCACACGGTGTCATGAAGAACAAACTGGAATCTGTTCCGAAGCTCGCTGTAAGACACAGATGTGCCTAGAAGCTCCCCAGAAACTGCGGACTCTGCCTTGCACTTTTGGAATCTTTTTATGTAAAGTAGCCTAGGTGCGTCCCTGCGTATTTTCAGGTTTTTTACTTGCTGTGAGAGCCTGTGTCATGACTGTCATCGACAGTTTTATTTTCTGGTTTCTTTGTGAAGCTGAACAGGAACATTAAACAGGATTTATTTATAAAAGTGGGTGCTCACCCATGAAGCAACGTTACCTATGCATCTGGAGGAAGGCCCCGCAGGATCGTCAGGTGGCAGCGCACCGGCTGTCGTTCTCGGAGAGAGGGGTTCCGTCGAGAGCTGGATGTTTGTTCAGTGCCGAGTTCTCCAGGTCACCTTTTAGTTGCAAACTTGACTTTGTGTTTCTGTTGGTCACCATGATCAAGGAGACCTGAAATCACTACTGTGCTGTGCTGCGTATTTGGGGGCGGGCGGGACAAAGTTAAATATTCTTGGTTAACCGCGGGTAAATATGATATTTTAATAAAATACTGAGATTTGCCAGTCCCGGGCTTTCCAGGGTTGCCTTTCTGCTGCCCATTAGGCTTTGTGGGAGAAGCGAGTTTACAAGAAAGTTCTGAGGACATCCATGTTTGTGCAGTGTGCAGTTGGATACGTGGCCCCCAAGCCACTCGTGTTCCTCGAGCCGCATTTGCGATCTCAGACCCTGAGGGCAGGGCCATGGGAGTGTTTGGGGGGAAGGAGCATTTGTGTGGCCTTCACTGGTTGAAAATCCCTGATCCGGATCTGAAATCCTGCAGCTCTGGGCTGCTCGCAGCTGACTGCCAGCAAAGGGAAGCAGCGGAAAGGTGCAGAAAGCACCCCCGGGCAGGGGCAGAGCCAAACAAGCAGCGGGTGCTCGAGTAGCTGCCTTCAGCGAAGACAGGCGCAGGGAGAGGAATGGACTTCACAGGAAAGCGGGTCCGCTAGCTGAGGCCTGCAGGGCTGCCCTTCTGTGATGCACTGGAGGTGGGAGGAACAGAATGTCTCCTGGGGCCCAGCGTGCCCTCCACCAGCCACTGCCCAGGGCCACCTTGGCAGCCTGACCCCGTGAAGCACTGCACAGCTGCACCAGCCACGTCCCAGGCAGCCCAGCACCTCTCAGGGATGCTTGTGAGGGGCTGGTTCTTCGGCACAGAGCAGGAGTGACAGTCCTCAGTGGCTTCTCAGGCAGTGACGTTGCACAGCGGCTGGAGGGTAGGGCCCAGAGAGCTGTGGGAGTGGAAGCAGTGGTGGCCCCAGAAGGCAGCGCAGCCGTGATGTGCCACCTGGCCAGGAGAGCACCTGCAAGGCATAGCCCAGCACACACAGGTGACTGGGCTGTGGGGCTCTGTCCACCCTGCTGGCCAAGGTTTTCATCGTACCGTGCCTCCCAGGAGGCTGGGGCATCTGAGCCGTGCCGCACCGGTTAAGACAGGCTGTGGAGTGTGGAGTGCTATGCTGTCCATAGGAGGAGGACAGGGACCTGGGGACGGGAGCAGTTGTCCGCAATGGTCGCACATCAGAGGCCTGGGCCTGGGGCAGCAGTGGCATCCAGAGATGGTGTGGCCCTTCCAGAAGTGGAGTCCATTGTCCCTCAGGTCCCAGGGGAACGTGGTCCTGGCAGTAGCTGTGGGCTCCTGGGTTGCTCTCTGGCTTCATCTTTTAGAATGGGGTCTCTTCTTCCATGGTGCCAAGGAACCCAGGAACCACCTGACCTTGGACTCTGAGCTCCAGCACCAGTCAGCCTGACCTCCTCTCTGTAAAGTCTGCCTCCTCCGGTGTTTGGTTACAACTACGAGCTGAATAAACTTTGAGAAGTGAGCCTCTTCCAGGGCTTGGTGAGAATGCAGCCAGAGACAAGCCTCAGTGTATTGCTTGTTGGCTTTTGAATTTCTGTGTGTTATGTACACTTGATTTGAAGTGAAGCCTGTGTAACAGTGTAGAGATCAAGGGTGAAGCTGAAATAAAGTACAGTGAGGAATTCTGAACATGGCATGTTAAGTATAAGAGCCAGAAGATAAATTGAAGTGGCCGGTCTATGCGGTGACCACAGGACCTGACACAGACCTTACCATCACGGGCTGGGTGGTGCTGCCCATGTGTGCGTGGTGAAGTCCTCGCTCCCCTCAGGACTGCAGGGTGTGGAGATGAGGTGTCAGCACTGTTGGAGTGAGCTCTGTGAACTGGGCCTTGGTCCGTTCCACGTGGTGACCTGGTGAGAGGAGGGTGCGGACCCACAGCCAGCAGGGCAAACAAATGAGGACACGGCAAGGTGGCCTCATCATCAGCAGGGGAGAGGCCCAGGGACCCCAATGCTGCTGACACCTAATGTACTTCCAGCCTGCAGCCCAGGAGGAAGTGCATTTCTGTTGGTTACGCCGCCTGGCCTCTGGCGTTTCCTTAGCAGCCCAAACTAGTGAGCTCCACACTCAGCTGGAGAGGCTGGCAGCCAGGATTGCAAATGGGGTGTGGTTTATGCAGCAAAGACACCTGTTCTCTAACCATGTCAGGAAAGAGGCAGCCTATGGGCTGGGGATTTAGCTCAGTGGCATAAGCGCCTGCCTTGCAAGCAGGCAGTCATGAGTTCGATCCCTGGTACCAATAAAAAGGAAAAAGCAAAAAAAAAAAAGGAAAGAGGCAGCCTAGCAAAGTGAAAACCGTGTAAATGACAAGCACTGTTCTCGCCTAGCACCACATAGCTCAGCGATGCTGCCCCATGCTGTCGCAAAGGCCAGGGGAGGCCGTGAGACCCTGTGCTGGCTGTGACAAATCACCTGGGCCTCTGCCTGCTGCCCGCTGGGGGCCCCAGTCTCACATGCCCACCCTGCTGGTAGGGGACTTCCCGGCGGGTGACACCCTGTCCCTTTTCCCCAGCACAGGGTCTCAGGGGAACAGCTCTGAAACTGAGGAGACAGCGGCTCAGCTTCCCCTTCAGGAATCACCAGGGCAACCTCCTGCTGCGCTGAGGAAAGAACCGCCAGCCAGAATTCTATGCCCAGCTAAAGTGTCCTGCAGGGCTGCCCAGGAAGCCCAGGCAGGAAGGAGAACCGTGAGGAGGAGCAGGTCAAGTCTGCTAAAGGGTGTTGTCTAGGTAGAAACGGCAGAGAAGGCACTGTGTCCTCGGGAAGAGCGCGGAGCAGGATACTGTGGACGGCAGTCCCTCCTTGCCTCCGCAGCTGGTCTTTCTGCTGATGTACTCATACACTCGTAATTCTCAATGCACAGGAAATGGGTGGCTGTATCAGAAGTACCCGGTGGTAGAAGAGGTAGGGCCTGCCCACCGCATCCAGACTGGTGCAAGTGGATTCCAGTGGCAAATGCCTGGCAAGCCGTGCAGCTGTGTAGTGTGATGTCGGGAGCCCCCACCAGTGCACTGCACACCGCCCACTTCCTCTATAACCCACAGTCAGCCAGTGTTGCACTGTCCTGACTCAGTCCCCTCGCCAGCACTTTGGAAGCCCAACACCGCATCGCAGTGCCTTCACCTCGTCAGATGGGCAAGTGTCACCTCGTATCCCTGGAAATGAGCACAGGATTGCAAATGACAGCCATGTGATTTCATCACAGGGTACCTTGCAGTCATTCTGTTAGTGGTTGTCACTAATCTCAGCATGGTGATTTATAAATTTTACAGCCTGATGTGCAGGGCCAATTCTACCCAGGGGGCACTGTACCAGGCCAAGGGGTGCACCCATGCTCGGGAGGCTGAGGGGAAGGGTTCCCCACAAGACAGCAGGAGGAGACAGAGCGAAAAGGGATGTCTTAATGTCCCCTTAATAACACGGTGAGAGGCCGATGGGTGAGGCGGTCGGTGGCCCAGCTGGGTTCTGTGTACAGGGCTCTGCACACACAGCGGTGTGCGTGGTTTAAAACTGTCAAAAGCTGTGCTGTGCAACACTCAGCAGCAGTGGCCACTACAGCGTCACAGGATTGGACTTCTGAGTGAAGGACGAAGAGAGCAGTCAGAAGGTGCCCCACGGTAAAAAGGCCACCAGAGAGGACATGGCAGGACACATGGTGCAGCCCCCAGATCTGGCCTTCACGGATGCCCTGCTGGCAGCCTCTGAATCCTGCCTTCCGCCAGGTGCTCACAAACCTTAGGCCAGACACTAATCCGGGCCTTCACCCTGATCCTGAAGCTGAGCAGCGTGCAGTAGCTCTCACTGACACTGATGTTAGCAAATTTGGTACAATGGTATTTAAATAGAATTACGTCCTGTGACCAGGGGAGATTTACTCCAGGAATGGAAGACTGGATCAGTCTTTAAAAGACATCAGTGTGATAGTATTTTAATTGGCTAAAGAAAAAACTCCTTATCTCTTTGTTGGTGGGGGGCTTTGAGATGGGGTCTCACTATTTTAATTCAGGCTGGTCCTGAACTTAACTAGGTAGCCCAGGCTGACCTCGAATTCAGAGCAATCCTCCTGCCTCAGCCTCTCAAGTGCTATAATTACAGGTGTGCACTCCCGAATCCCACAAACTCAAGATTATTTCAAATGGTGCTGAAAAATCAAAGGTCAGCCAGCATCCTCCTGGTGGACCTTTAACATGAAAGGTGGTTTAGGAAGAGAACTCATAGGCACTGCAAGGAAGAACCCAGGGATAACCCCCCAAAATGGAATTTATAGTTTTATTTCAATTTTAATGGTGTAAAAACTTACCCAAGTTGTAAAATAAAATGGGAGACAGGATCAACGCCTGACGTTCTTACTGTAAAGGGCGTAAGTTGCTTGGTGTAAGGATGGGCTGGCATGCTGTGGGGAGACACCCAAATCTGAATCCTCAGACTGTCCCCAGGTCACTCCGTGTCCACTACAGTCTGGATCTGGCTCCCCTGAGGTCCCTGTGCGGCAGGCTTGGTCCCCAGGGCCAAGGCACTCAGAAGGGGTCTAGACGGGGTAGTGGAGTCACTGCCCGCATGGAGGATTAATCTGGTGACCTTGGACGTCAGGTGGTGGCACCCAGGTGTAGGAAATGGTTCCCTAGAGTGTGACATGGCTCTGAAGACCATCTTGACCCCAGCCCCTTTGCCTCTCCCGCTGCCCCTCCGTCCTGGCCACCGTGAAAGAGCAGGCTCCTCACCTTGCCCTTCCACCATGACACCCTGCCTTCGCCCATGGAGCCCTGACCACAACCTCCAACACCATAGCTAGAGAATACCTTTCCTCCTGAAAGGTTTTGTTCAGGTGTTTGGTCTGAGTGACAGAAACCTGAAGCAGAGGGATCCCCACCCTTTGTCACTCCGGTCCCCATTTTCACATGTAACAGCCTAGAGGAGAGTCTCTTTCTCGGTATAGTCAGGATGCGCTCAGCCCCTGCTTAGCAGAGGTGTGGACCGTGTGCCAGGGTCTTGGCCCAGCAGGTGACATCCACTGGGTGTGTGATCACAGGGGATGGCTCTCTAAAGGAAGGCACTGTTTCAGGTCCCGAGACAGAAGCTGTCCTAGGAGCTGAGGGAAGGGCTGACAACACCAAGGGCTGAAGGGAATCTGGGAATGGGCTAGGAGAAGTGGAGAACCTTCCAGAAGAAAAGAGCAGCAGAGTATGTTGAGGGTTTGAAAGACCAGGGCTGAGGGTGAGGAACCAGGGAGCAGGTGGGCAGGCTCTCTAGACACAGTGAGAATCTTCACCTGTACCCTGGGAATAATCCGCCTCCCTCTGGCTGTTATGGGAATTAGCCTGGAGATCCAGGCTTCTGCCCATTTTTCCCTCTGGAACAGAACAGAATGTTGTAGGTGGTAATTCATGAAAAACATGCTGGGTGTGGTAGCTCACGCCTGTAATCCCAGCACTTGGGAGGCTGAGGTGGGAGGATCATTGTGAGTTCGAGACCAGCCTGGGCTACAAAGTGAGCTCAAGGCCAGCCTGAACTGCATAGCGAGACCCGTCTCAAAAAAGACAAAAGAAAAACAGATCTGCAGGCTGGGGAGGCCACGCCCAGGAAGGGGACCCTATAGCCTTGAGAGCAATGGCAGGTGGAGAACAGTGAACAGTAAAATGCTTAGCAGTGAGACCACAGGACAGGCAGCTCCTGGGAGTCCTGAGAAAGTAACTCAACCAGGCGTCTGGTGCAAAGGAAAGTGCTGGCCTGAGAGAGAGAGAGTACCGCAGGCCAGTCTCTGAAGGACAGGCCCGAACCGGAGGACATGAGCTATGGTTCTGGATCCATCTGCAAGGAGAGGGGGAGCTGGGGTAGATGTGCAATGGTCTAAACTGACCAGCAATTACATGAGAATCTAGGACAGCCCAGGGCGGGGGTGGACCAGGCCGAATCAAAATGCCACGTGCAACAGCAGGAGTTGGGAGGGGAAATGGGAGGAGGGGGCAGCCCTGCCTCTGCCCTCTGAGACTGTTGCCACGAGGCAAAACTCCAGGGGAATAGGCTCAGTGTAGACAGTTGAAGGAAGGAGAGGGGAAAAGAATCGATGAGCAAGGGAAAACTACAGTCCAAATGAGGAAAGAGAGAGGGGAACAGAGGACAATCCCAGATGTGATGTCAGGAGTGAGCTGGAGACGTAGCTCAGTTGTAAGCTGTGTTCTTGGCACACATGAAGCTCTGGGCTCAATCTTCAGTGTCTAAATAATAGATAAAGATTCATTACAATAAATGTAAATGGACTAAATTCTCAAATGAGGATCTTACCTGGTATATTTTAAGAAACAAAACAAAATTCAGCCTTGGATGTGCTCAGTACTGGAGAAATACTTAAGATGCATAGAAGGACTGAAAACTAATTAATAGAAACACTCAGGGAAACGTTAACAGCAGAGGCAGTTCTAGTCCTAGTAATATTAGAGGAGAATTCAGGCAAGCAGCATTACTCCTTATAAGGAAATTTGCTACATAATGATAAAGAGTTCCATTCACTGGAGAAATGTATGGTTTTCAGTTTGCCAGAGGATTTGTATATTACCACACACCATATGGGCCCAGACCTCCAGGGCTTGAGGAAAATGTTATGAAAATCATCCTCACACAGTAATAGAAGATGTGAATATATTTCTCGGTAGTTGCTAGACAAAACAGACTCCCCAGAAAATCCTCAGTGAGAAAAAGTAAAAACTTCCAGGATGGAAACCACGATCCAACTCAGCCATACCTGACACCTGGGAAGGACACAGTACTTTTAAGCACACGAAGAAGAGTTACTGGGGGACACAGTCCAAAAACCGCTGGCCACCAGGCACCCCAGAGCCTGGGATCTGCCCAACTACACTGCTCCCCACAGCAAACTGAAGCTAGGAAACAAAGCCAGGAAGTCAACTAGAAAACATCGTCCTCTAGAAAGTTTAATAATCTGTGTGGTCAATACAGAGGCCAAAGGGGAAATTTTGACTAAAATTACAAGACTTCACCATCTAATTTTTTGTGTCAAACTCCTGAGATATAGTTGGAGCCTCTGCATTTGCCTTCAAAAAATTAGAAGGCTCAAAAGGACTATGATCTAATTAAATCCAAGAGTCACAGAAGTAGAAAAAAGAAATTAACAGCAAATAAACAGCTACTTGTTGCATTTTCTAAAGGCGTAAATGGAAAGGAAAAAAGAACAGAGCCGCGGGCACAGAGAGAAACAGGAAAGAGGGCTCTAAGAGAGGCTCTGGACTGCAGGACCCTGCTGTGGTGCAGGCTTCTTGGGAAGGCAGCAGGTGGCAGAGCAGACTAGCAGAAATGCGAATCTGATCGATCGCCCTTTAATGGTGGGAAGCACTCCACAGCGAGGTGTTGTCCTCAGCAAAAACTCTAGAAGCAGATGCTTCACTGAGTGACCGCAAGAACCTGGGAAGTGGGTGACCCACAAATACAGTCCGAGCATTTGTACAGCCCTGCTCTGCAGTCACCTCATCCCAGGGCACTCTAGGACCGAGCCAGAACCCCAGCTTCAGGATAGCAACGCAGCCAGACCCATTGGTGACTAAGGAGATGATACAGGGTGACCAGGTGAGGTCCACTCCAGTTGTAGAGGTGATGAATTAACACAGTTGATTAATACTAGAACATTTATTTCTAAATTTCAACATATTAGCATATTAGAAAAATTATCTCCACAAATAAAATGTGGAATTCAAGGTCCAAATATGACATAAAAATCTCTTAGCACATTTTTAGAAAGATTTCCTTAGCTTGCAAATGGCCCCATGCTGGCTCTCTGTCCCCTTGCCTGGGCATCTACAGATATGGCTGGTTCCAGGTGCACACAGGGGTCTCCCCAACAGGTATGTGGGGGCCTGAGTGAGGGACCTGCTGGAACAAGGTCTCATCATCTGCAGCCTATGGCCCAGGTGGAGGAGAAGAGGGCAGGGGACAGAGAAGGACACTCCCAACTAGGCGTATTTCTGCCACTACTGCCTGTGGTCCTCAGACTCCAGTGCTGTCCCTGGGACTCTCACAGTGGCTGCCCAAGCTCTCAGGCCTCCAGACTTCGAAGCTGGCCTCCCTGCCTCAGTCGGGCCGTGTGACTGGCGCTGGGCTCTGCAGCGAGCAGATGTTGGACAAACAGCACATGTGCGTGTTCCTGTGAGCCGGACTCAGGTGCACACACGTGCATATTAATTAACACGCAGGCCCTGCCACACAATCACTGCTCACACACAATTTTTTTGTGTTTTGTTTCTGGTTTTTGGTGAAATTTACAGAAAACATTCAGCAGAGTAATGGATGGAGGAAGCGGTAAGCACTCCCTGAGGACCAAGAGGCTCCCACTCCCTCCTCTCGAGCTGCCTTCCCATGCTATGGCAAGGAGCATGCCAAACTAGGTGAGGGCAACTCCACCAGTGACTCACAGAATGGTCCCGGGACCCAGCAGCTGCAAGGAGAATGGAAGACAAGGGCACAAAGGGACACCAGTGCCAGGCTCACAGCAGTGCCCAGCATGACGGCTAAGGTGGAAGCCGCCCCACAAGTCCCCCCTACAGGCATGGACAGGAACAGGCAAAACAGGACCAGCACCCTGAGGAGTATTACTCTGCCCTGAGAAGGGAGGAAACTGACGTGTTGCTACAGGATGAGCCTGACCACACCAGGCCAAGGGGAAGGAGCCACTCGCAGGAGGACAGGTGCTGTAGGAACATGTGAGTGAGGGTCCAGAGGGGTTGGAGTCTCAGAGCCTGGAGAGCAGTGGGGTGGGAGCAGGGAGCCTGAGCTTAGCGGCTGGCACTTTGGTCTTGGATAACAGAAACACTGTGGGTCGGATGCCGTGGCTGTGGGCAGTGTGATCATAGGTGACATCTCTGAGCCGCACACTGGAACAGAGCTGCCACGGTGAATTTCAGGTCATGAGTGTTTTTCATCAATTGTTCCTAAGGTCCTAAGGACTGCAGAGAAGGAAGCTGGGGCCACGGTGGAGCTGCTGTGACCCGGCCCCCGAGCCTGCTGCCCACCGCACCTGGCTGCTTCATACCTAGGGTCTGGAGTGACGGGGACTTCAGAGGCGAGGCTTGAATGGAGCGGGCTTTCCCTGAAGCGGACACAGAAGCTACCATCCCATCGGGCCCAGCTGAGCCCTCATGGCCGCTCCCCTGCGAGGCCGCGTACTCCCGGAGCTCCAGTGAACTTTATTCTCAACTGTAGAGGAGGGAGGTGTGAAATCTGCAGAGCCCAGGCTGCTCCCCATCACGCCTTGCTCCCCATGATGGTATTAACCCATGGCCGCCCCAGCCCCGCTGGACCCCAGGAAGCCCTCAGACTCTGGGCGGCCCCTGCACCTCCCTCCGTGCCACGCAGAGAGACTGCCACCCGCCTGCCCACTCCATCCTGGCTGGCTGTGGGTTTCGCTTTAGGGCAGATATGTTCTAACCAGCTGATGACTGCGCTCTGGGCCATGTGTGGTGTGCTGTGTGATCCTTGTGGAGCCCTGGGATGCTTGTGGGGAAAGGGCTCCTGACGGCCCTTCAACCTCAAGACAGCAAGGCACCAGGAAACGCCCCAGCCCCTTCCCCACCCGAAGGAACTGAGACTCCTTTGAGAAAATGCTTTTACTTCCACGTTGAGGGGAACTCCATGCTTAGGCGCCAGGGCTGCATTCTCTGCTTTAGCTCTGGTCCCACAGACGGGCTGAAGGGCACAGAAATGAAGCGCAGGGGAAGGCCCATCACAGGGACCCCAGGGGGCCCTGGGGGCAGGCATAGCCTTGAGGGCCGTGCAGCAAGGACCGTTAGTAGTCGTCATAGTTGACACTGGCCCCGTGCCTGAAGCTGTCAGGGCTCCTAGGACCGATGGCCACGTCCTCGTCATAGTGACGCTGGTAGTAGTCACCATAGTAGTCGTGTCCGTTCCGGTCTCTGTTCAGCCAGTAGGTGATATCATCTTCGAATTTCTGGAGGAAACGAGAGCAGAGGGAGTTGTATTTAAAGATGCCCAGGTCACCTGGGCTCTGGCTCCGCTGGCTGGCCTGTCTATGGCCCTCTCCGTAACTCCCTGCCCATTCTCCTGCCCCAAGGCCGGCATGCCTGGCTGAGAAGTCCTAGCCTGTGGCTCTGGACACTTCCCTGACTCAAGGCTCACACATCCCTGGTAAAGCGGACCCCGCCCAGGGAGTGGGCGCTTGCCCTGACCCCGCACTGTTCTCATAGCATGGCTTCCTGTCCTGTGCCGAGCCTGTCTGCTGTGTAGCACACAACAGGCACACAACAGGAACACGGTGGTTCAGTCAGCGGCAGTGCTGGCATCTGAGAGCCAGGGCAGGCGCTGGAACGCTGTCCTGCTGTGTCTAGATGTCCCCCAGAGCTTCCTGCATTCATAGCTGGGGCTCTTTTAGAGGTGGCCAGTCTAGAGTGTGTGACTGACTCATAGGGCCATGCTGGGCGGAGCAGGGTGACTGCTGGACCAGCCCTCCGATCAGCTCTGCACCAGCCTGATCCCGGAGGCCTGGGTTCAGAAAGAGGCTCCCTAGTTCCTCGCTTGCTTGCTTTGCTGCCTTCTGCCTGCCATTGACTGTTTCTCTGCTGCCACGCCACCCTGCCTTGGAGCCAGCTGATTACATGCTGGAACCTCCACAAACTGAGCTAGATAACCCTTCCCTCCTTTAACTTTGGGTGCGAGAGAAAAGTAACTGACACAGACGCTGCCGAGGTAGCTGTCGCCCGTGCTCCTGGGCAGGCAGTGTCTCTCACTGTGCAGGCCAGGCCCATGCAGGGCACAGGGTGGAGGGTGGAACAAAGTCAGAGCCCCAGCTCCCAGAGCCTTAGGGACAGAAGGACAGGAGTCGCTGCCGTTAGCATGGCAGAAGGAGGTCGAGGCCCGGAGGTGAAGAGGGCTGTGCAGGGCTCGGTTGCTTTTATTTTTTGATTTTTGAGACAGGGTATCACTATGTATTTCTAGCTGGCTCTGAACTCACTGTGTAACCCAGGCTGCTCTCGAACTCACGGTGACCCTCCTGCCTCAGCCTCCCGAGTGCTCACATGACAGGACTGTGGTGCTGTGCCCCCGTCTTCTTCTCCTTCCTTTTCTCCTCTGTGTCGGAGAGAACTGAGCCCAGGGCCTCAGCATTCTGGGCATGAGCTCTCCCACTGAGCTCCTCTGCTGGCCGGGTCAGCACAGGCCCCTGACCTCCGCCATGACGCTATGTGAAGGAGCAGGTGCTCCGAGAGCTTCCCCGGGGACCTGCAGGCATCCACGCTCAGGTGAGGCCAAAGCGGGCGGTTTGGGTGCAGCCGCCTCTCCAGGTGTGACCAGGGCCCCTCACCCAGCTGGGAGACTAAGGGCTGCCGCCATGTCTGGAGGTTGGGTCCACTTCATTCTACAGTGCTGCCTGGGGTCAGCCCTGACACTCGGCTCAGGTTTCTGACTCAGGTCCACGCACGCCCAACCCTGAGTCCTGATGCAATGTCACTGCCCAGGCTGAGATGTGCAGTGTGCCCGTGGTCATGGCCCCATGGCTCAGGGCCCCCCATGGCTCAGGGCCCCCCATGGCTCAGGGCCCCCACAGCATGGAAGAGCAGCTCTCAGTTTTGCTGTCTTTTGTGCCCTCCTGACTCAGCCGCTGCATGGGGACACAGACCCCATGGCCTCCAGATCTCTAGTCTGGCTTTTCTTGCAATACCACTTTTTTAAATAGTGAAATAATCTCATTCCTTGAGATTTCTGGCTTCATAAATTGATTTTGGGGTTTGGTTCAAAACACATTTCAATCAGTTTTGCAGAAATTGGATGTGGAGGTGCACATCTGAAACCCAGCATTCTAGGAGGCTGAGGCAGGAGGATCACAAGTTCCACCCCAGCCTGGGAAACTTAGCAAATCAGTGAGGCCTTGTCTCAAAGTACAGAATTGAAAAGGGGAGGAGCTAAGGATGCAGCACAGAGCAAATGCTCTGGGTTCAACCCTCAGTGCCCAAAGGAGAAAAGAAAGAAGAACAGAGAATTTCCAGACATCTGTGCTTATCCATGCGGGGCCAGCATTCAGCACAGTGAACTTGGGCATACTCGAGGCTGCTCTTTCTGACACACGGGCAGCCACCATATCTCTGGCCCTCATCGGCCTCTGGTTTGTGAGCAGAGTGTATTTTAGCCAGTCTTCATGTCTGACTCTTGATAACATACTTCAGTGGTCACTAAGCAATGGCGAGGTGCCCCATCTCCCCAGTAAATGTGGTTTAAGTATTTCAAACCCCTGGGGGCAGCCATCCTGACACCCTGATTGGCAGAGTTCTGCTGTTGTGTTTAGCTTCTTGCAACACAATGAAAGAAAAAACGAGTTTGCATAGCTGAAGACATCTGGGGAGAGCGAGCCTGTCCAGGGGCTGGGCTGGGAAGGGAGTGACGCAGGCAGGTGTGGCCCTAGAGGCGTCTCCTCCCTCCACCTTGCACAGGACCCCAGGCATAGCCCCTAGGGGAGCACTCCCGCCCTCGATGCAGGCACTACGAGGCCCCATGCCAAGAACAGACCCCGCCACTGTGCCCATGCCATGCCCAGCTGGGATCTGGGATGAAAAACAGCCTGCTCCTTCCTTTCTCGGGCCCCAAAACTGCAAACCACCCCTCCTCCAGGGGGAACCGATGTTCATCCCAACATCTACACAGACCAGGCTCACTCTGCGCCTCTCCCCTCTCCTGGGGTCTTATTGTTTATGTTTCTGATGTAAAGTGGACCCCGTTGTTTTGGGGGGTGTTATTTGAAGGAAGCTCTAGCAGCTCATGCAGTGTGGTTAAAATTGCTCTTAAGGAAAGGTCACTGTCACGGGATCGGGCCACAGGAGCCAGGGGTGCCCGCTGACGCCTCACACAGTGGGTGGCTCTCCGCACCCTGGGCCCACACGCTGCGCAAAGGCAGTGGGGCCTCTGAGACCTGGGGCTGGGAGTAAGGTCTCGAGTCCCATGGCCACAGCTTCCCCTGAGAAGGGATGAATGCTGCCCCTGGAGGGGACAGTGTCCTCCCAAGGGTGGGCTGGCAGGGCAGGGGGAGGAGCCTTCCGTGCCTCCCCATGGCCTCTGCGCTACTGTGGTGTCAGGAGCCACGGGGCTCTCTGCAGAGCAGCGCGCACCTTGGGCTTCCAGATCCATGGTTCTGAGCATGTGATGGCCACAACGAGCCGAGTCCAGCAGCTTCGTCGTCCATGCCTCCACCCCACGACCTGGCCCAGCCCCGTGGGAGGTACCCACCGCCTCGTCGAAGCCCATGTAGAGGAACTGCTGGTACCACTGCTGCACCTCGGGCCGCGTCCGGTCCCACAGCTGCCGCCGCTGGCGCCGGAAGCCACCCAGGAACTCTTTGGCCTTGTTCTCGCCCATGGCCACGTTCGCCTTGGTTGGAGCAGGGGCTGTAATGACAAGTCGCCCGAGGTGCAAAGGCTGCTGGGAGCTGCTCCTCCACACACCTGCACCGGCCTGCTGCACGACCTCCCCATGCTCCCCAAGAGTGACAATTCTTTCTTTTTCTCATACCAGGGACTGAGCCCAGGGCCTCTGCACTCAGCCACAGCCCTAGCACCAGCACCAGCCCTTTGTTTTTAACATTTTATTTTTATTTTGAGACAGGTTCTCGATGTGTTGCCCAGGCTGGGCTGGCATTTGTGGTCTCCTGGCTCAGCCCCAGAATGCTAGGGTCACAGCTGTGCCCACCATGTCAACAAGTGAAGTAAAACCACCTTTGCGTGTGCCCACCCCACCTGCCTGCTGTGGGGGGACCGGGGCAGCCTGGCCTGCAACTCCCTTCCCCCTGGTCAGCAGGTGTCTCTGTTTGTGTCTGATGCCCAAAGGGTGCACGTTCACCTTCAGATCCCAGGTCCCAGAGGGCAGGGCTGGTCACTGCACCCTGCACACAGGGTGGCCACGCTCCAGCTGAGTATCCAAGAGCAGGAAAGCCATGGATTGCCACATGTGCATCTGGAGTGCGTTCACTGAGGCAGGCGGCAGCACCCAATGGGCTGAGTCCGGAAGGGGGCAGACCCTGGCTCTGACCCTGCTGCCTCCCGCTTTTCCTGCCACCGCCCCATTGCCCATGCTATCCCGGGGGCGCTGCTATGTGTTTGGACTTGTCCTGCTGTGCTGGAGGCTCTGCCCTCATCTATAAAAGCCACGGAGGCCCTGAACTCGGCCATGCTGTGAACACATGGGACGGAGGAATGAGCACCAAGGATCCCATGCACCCCACAGGGCAATGCTGGGAGGTTGACTTTCTGCACCCCAGCTTTGCATACAGCAGGCACCCAGTGTGTGTCTTGGCCTGGACCCCGAGTGAAGACCTCGGGCTGCATGCCCACGTGTCACAGTGGCTTCTGCTATGACAGGCTGGTCCACAGGACACATCTCAGCCTGAGTGTCCCAGCCCAGGCTGGGGCTCCTCTGGCCACTTCCAAGATCGGGGTGGACTGTGCGCAGCAGGGTAAGCCCCAGGTGCTCACCCAGGAGGTTGCTGCCCCCAGGGCCGAGAGCCTTAGACCCGAAGGGGTCCTCAAGGAGATAAGGACTCCACCACCCAGCAGTGTGGCCTCTTGCCTTCCTTTCTAGGGGACTTAATGACCCCCAGCAAGGGGCAGTTGCAGGGGGAGGTGACACCCACAAGGCTGCACCACAGGACCCTGCCTGAGCTGGAGCACCAGGCCCAGGGCCAGCACTGTGACCCCAAGGACACCTGTTTCTGTGATGTCCTGGGGCATCTGCCACGTGCATCCCAAGGGCATGTCCATGGGGGTCAGTGAAAGGCTTCCTGAGCGCACAGCCTCTGGGGGCTGGCAGGACCACATGCAGATCGGTGCCCCCCATCATGGGGGCTCCCTGGGCTCACCCCATAGACGTAGCCCTAAACCAGGGGGTGATGAAGGCAGCGGCACTCAGCTTCCATCTCTGAGTCCACGTGGGCAATTCCGGAAAACAGCCTCAATGGTTCCCTGCCAGGGTGTCTGTCTAATAAAATAGCGCATGCAGGCACACACACACGCACATGCACACAGAGTGGGCCCGGCAGTTCTGCTAAGCCCTGGACACCTTGATTTTTCTAAACACAAGCCAGCTGTGAGCCCTACGCCACTGCCATGTCCTCCCCATGTCTCCCCAGGTGAGAAGGCACCCCCAGGGGAGCAGTGTTTACCTTCCCCTTCCTGCAGCATCCGCTGGAGTTTGTTTCCACTTGTGCCACCTAAAGGAAGAAAGCAGAAACCAGCCTGCAGCCTTGAACTACGGACCACAGCAACTGGCCTGGTGAGAGCGTCCTTGCCCACACCTGACTGGGACCACCCAGTTGTTAAAGCGTCTAACAAGCCCACCGTTTTCACAGACAGTCTGGCCGGAAAGAGCACCCTTCCCCCGGGGCTGCTGAGGACCACGCTGAAGCCGGGAGCCGGGAGCCCTGAACTAAGGCACAAGATGAGTCCACGCAGGGTGACCCCTGCGCTTCAGGAGAGGCAGGCAGCACCAGTCCAAAGTGTGTCCGGGGTCAGTCGGGCACTTGAGCCAGGCCTGTGGAGGTGCCCACCTTCCTGGTGGGCTCCGAGCCACTAGGGCCATGGCAGCTCCGGTGCCCTGGGAAAGGACGGACCTTCACGTCCATCGAGGGACGTTTCTGGGAACAAGAGCCACACAAAGCTTGTGCCAGACTCTCCTGTGACCCTAAGAAGATGAGGAGGCTCTGCTGTGGGCAGGGTGGAGCTCAGAGGTGGGAAACAGGTTTCCTTTTGTATTTTTAAGAGAAACCCCTGTTCCAGTAACTGCCCGTGCAGTAAGGGAGAGCAATGTGCTCTCCACCGCGAGGCTGCTGCGGGCCACGCTCTCCCTGCAGGGGTCTACGAGGTGCTGGGGCTGCAGGAGCCGAATCTGAGCACCCTTGAGCTGCACCCCTCCTGCAGCTGTGGTCCCAGGCCAAATCCCCTCGGATCCCAGGCTCCTTGAATCCTCGGCTGGGACAGAAACCCCCAAGGCTCCTGGGAACAGTGGACACTTAGCTTAGACCTCCTGTCCTCCTTGTAAGCTAGTGACGGCACCCCTTCCGTCTAGGAGAGTCCAGCTGGGCTGGTGACGCCGGCTGCCTCTACCTTGGTTCTCCCTTATTTTTAGATCGGCTGAGGAAGAATCTCTCAGGATTGTGCTGCAGGGCCAGGGGACAGCAGTGGACCTGTGCTCATGCCTCACACGGGAGGGCTGGAGCCGCCAGAGGAGAGATGTGGGTGGCAGCCTTGGTTCTCATCATCGTGTGGGGCCCGGTATGGCCTCCAGGCCACAGTGGTTCGGGGCAGTTTCTCTAAAGGAGCTGTGTGCCCTCTGCTGTCCCCGCCCTGCCAGACCCCTCTGCGCCTGTGCCTCAGTTTCCAGCTCTCCCTTGGGAGGGGCCTGGGTTTTCCTTCCCAACCTCAGACCCATGAAGATGCCCATAAAACCTGCGCCAGGGCCACAGGTGTGCTCCTTGGCCCAGCATCATCGGCGTTTTCACATTTGTCGCCTGCTAACAGTGTCCAGGGCAACGCTGGGCTTCAGTGCCTCCCAAGAGCTTGTGACTTCCAGCAGTGGAGTCCTGTCACAGCCAAGCCCAGCCCTGACCAGTGGTGGTGCATCCTGAACATGGACCACGAGTGTCCCCACCGCCCCCAATGACCCCAATGCCTGGTACGCACATTAACACAGGCAGTGGGGTACCATGCCAAACACATGTGAAACAAGGAGAATGGAGGGGGGCCGTGAGGTATGTCCCGTGATACGGATCATCTGTCCCAGTGCCATCTGTCCTTACTTCAGCTGTGGCCGTCAGCACCCCCAGGCCATCACCCCCAGAGTGAAGTTAGTTCTTTCAGCACAGCGGCAGGCAGGGACCTGACCAGTGACCCCCAACCCCGCCCCAGGCTGAGTGTGAAGGCGCTGCTCAGGGACCACAGTCACGCCCTGCGCTCAATGCCCAGGGAATGGCCTGAGCTGGCTTGACCACACACAGACTTCTCTTTGTGTCAAACGACCTTCATGAGCGCTCAGCGTGGTGCTGGTGACTCTGTCCTAAACCTCCTAAGCTCTTGGCATGAGTTAAATAAATGCCCAGCTTGCAGCCTGCTTCCACGGGAGGTCCGGCTGCCCCTGTGTCTTAGAAGGGGAGAAAGAGGAGGCGTGGGAGGCTGGGTTGCTGTCAGCTCTGCAGCTCTGTGGCTGCCATCGGCATGGAGACCCCAGCCCCACTGCATGACCCTGGCCCCTGGCTGAGTGTTCCATGCTGATTTCAACACGCAAAACAGAGACAGAGCCTGGTGGCTCCTGTGCATTGGACCCACAGCCTGAGACCCCGCTGCTGACCCCAGACCTGCTGCAATTGCCCAAGGCCCCCCTGGGGGGGACCCCAGACCCAGAACACTGTCGCCCTGCTGCCACCCGCTTACCTGGACCAAGGCACAGGAGCAGGAGCAGCACCAGCCCACTCAGGGCCAGCATGGCGGGCCGTGCAGAGGAGGCGGCCATGGGGAGAATGAGGGGTGCACAGAGCAGACAGGAGCTGGGCGAGGCCGGTGCACAGGGAAACAGTGTCTTTGCTGAGGGCGGGGCCATGGTGGGCAACAGGCCAGGGGGGCGTGGGCCAGCATGGCCAGGACCGGAACCCAAGAGCAGGGGCAGGACAACAGTTCTGGCCTGCACAGGGCCTGTGGGTATAGGGAGAAGGAGGGGGCCCTGGAGGTTCCTGGGGTCCGGGAGGGAGGGAGACCCCAGGACTGTGTCCCCTTGCGCTCGCTGTGCTCACAGCCTCTGGAGGGCAGCGCTGCAGACTCTGCTCTGGAATTTCCTTCATTCCTGAGCCACAGGAACAGAGCAGGAATGGGGGCTTTGGCAGCACTGGGCTTCTGCTGGGTGAAAAGCTCCACAGTCTGGATTCCAAGCCACAGTCCAGGAAAACAACTCAGCCCAATCCACAGCCGTGGAAAAGTCCTGGAGAAGCCAGGGCCCAGTGGCTGCCAGTAGGGATGGCGGTTCACACTGCGCGCTGGCATCCCTGGGAACCCTGGCTCCCATAGTGCAGTGTGCTCCCAGGCAGAAGGGGAGGTCAGGCCAGTCACGTAAGGGGGCTCTGAAGGTGGCGTGGTGTGGGGCAAGCAGAAGCCCCTTTCCTCTGGTGTGTGTGTGGGGGGGTGGGACTCAACAGCTGCCACCTCCAAATGCTCCAGCACACATACGGGCTCTCCTCGTGGGGCTGGAGGGGGAGAACTTGCCCCAGCTGTGCCCAGAAGCCAAGTTCACACTTCCTAACCCAGAAGGGACAAGTGATTCCCACAGGACCTGCAGGGCCAAGGAGCCCAATGGGACATTTCAAAGGAAAGCTGGGGCAGCCTCTGGCCACGCTCACCTCCCCAGCGCCTTGTGCAGTGCTTTCACTGGGTCATAGTGCAGCACAGGAAAGCCGTGAAGGCACAAAAGCCGCATGACCTGCCCCCAGGAGCTGCCAAGAGTTTGTGGTAATCCTGCTTAAAATTCCCACTAGCAACTTATCTTCCCTTCTCTTAAAAGAAAAAAGGAATTCATAAAATAAAGAATTACAGTTACCAGAGAGACCCGTTTGTAAAGGGAAGTGTGGAAGGGTCAAGATGCCACCGGCATCATCCTCCACAGCACCCTGGGTGTCACCCAGAGACCCTGTGCATGCCCTTGAGCTGGCCAGGCCTCTTGGGTCCTCTGTCTCTCCTGGGGGACTGGCCCTGAGGACAGAGCCTCTGAACATGCTCTGGGGAACCGGTGTGCATCTGAGCCTGGTTCCCTTTACAAAGCCACTGGATTCCATGCCCCAAGCAGAAATGAGCAGTCAGGGGAAACTGAGGCACAGTGCACCACGCTGTGGATGGTGTCGCTGGACAAGCTCCAACAGGTGCCTGCAGGGGCCGGTGGGGTGGGGTGGGGGCTGTGGTTTACGCCACCTCCTGACTATTCTGGGGTTCCAGAGAGCTGAGCCCCGTGGGGGTTCCCTGCCCCACGGGTCCCACTTCCTCTGACACTGCCCCCAGGGACTGAGCCTTTGCCCTGGAGCCGAGAGCACAAGCACTATCCCAATTCCAACAGAGGGCAGAGCCAATGGGAGGCCCGGAGGGGCAGAGCTATAGGACCAGGACCCCAGAGCCTGCAGCGCCTCTGCCCTGCTGGAGCCAGGTGTCACTCCCAATGAAATTCCTTTAAACATGTGAAACTCCCAGCCCCCAGCAGGGGAGTGTGATGGACCAGTGCCCTCTTACCTCAGTTTTAAAACAGTATTTTGTGTCATTGTGTAGTTTGTTGTCGTGAGAACAGCGAACCAAGGGCTCAACTCCCAAGTCACACAGCCAGGCAAGGTGCACGCATCACGGCCTCCTGCTGGATTTGTGGGCCACTCACACAGCTCCAGCCCACAGCAGTGAGGCCCAAAAGTGGGGACCCCCTTCTGGTCCCAGCACAGTGACCTGGGCCACCCAGCAGAGCACTCGTCCCTGTTTCTTCTTGGGACGCCGGGCACTGAAGAGCAATTTCCCCAGCAGCGGACTCGGGCACAGGAGGATCATGAGTGTGCACAGTGCTGTTCAGGAATCCTTGGGGCCAGGACCTGCTCCTGGCCACAGAGTTGGACCATCAGGATCCATCACAGGCCTTCCTGTGCCTTAGGGAAGGTAGGAAACCACACAACCCACGCCGCCAATCTGCCCCTCTCCTTCTGTGGTGGAGACAGCTGCAGGGGCGGGTTGCACGCAGCTTACTGCCATTGGGTTTTGCACCATCACTGTGGCTGGGAGAAGTGCTGACCCCTCAGCTTGCACACTCCAGGCTTTGTCAGTCATCAGGCCTGTGATGCTGTTGGGAGGTGGCAATACCCTTAAAAGGTGGGTCCCAAGGAAGGAAGTGAGGTCACTGGGCCCAGCCTGTTTCTTGGCTGACATGGGCAGTGACCAGTTTCCACAGGGACACTCCTGCCACCATTTACTGCCTCACCACAGGCCTAAGGCCACAGAGTGGAGAGAGCCGCACCCCACCAGAGTCTCTGAAAGGCTGAGCACAAATAGCCCTTTCCTCCTCCTACATCAGTCACTCAGTACTCTGTCAGCGTGGGAGAAAGCTGAGCCACACTGCCATGTAGCGATGCCCCCTCAGAATGAGGGATCAAAGGGCACATGTAGTCTGTGGTCTAGCAGAAGCATGTGGTGGCACAGAGGGCAATCGACGTCCACGTGCCGGGCTCTGTCTGCCCACAGGTACCCACTGGAGTCCCTTCTCCCTGCTACTCCACATGTGACCTGCAGTGCAGGACTCAGCAGCTGACCCAGGGGGACAGCTGGACCCATGTCAGTGACAGTGCAACTCAGTGAGGCTAGAGTGGAGTGAGGGAATTGGAGGAGCATCAGAAGCTATGTCCTATATGGGGCTGCAGGGATGCCGGGGATGGAGGGACAGAGTCCTAGAGCTGTGGGGTGGGCAGTGCCCGGCCTTTCCTCATTCTCTTTCCAGCTCATTCACGTCCTTGCATAAAGTAGCTCTCCAGGGCTTAGTCCCCTGAGACCAAGGGTCCCGAGCACCAAACCCTGCTGAGGTGCAGGACTTGTGGCTCAAACAGTGTAAAACTCACAGAGTAAATTCCACAGAGCCTTCTCTGCTGTGGCTCACATTTTTGTGCCTGGGCCAAAACTGCTTTGCATTTCCTGTCTTCCACCCGTGGGGCCTGCCATCTGGAAGGGTTCAGACGCTTGGGACAGCACTTGGACAGCGATGAGCACATTTCCATCACTAAGGCTCCTCACTGGGTGGCTGGGTCCTTGACATTTTCACCTCGTGCACCTTGCATGCACCAGCAGGGCCTTTTCCAGGAACTGTCCTCCACTCTCTGCGTGGGCACAGCCCCGCACAGTCACGCTCACAGCTGGACTTGGGTATAATGAACAGTTTGGTCTTCGGCAAGCGCCCACCAAAGCATTTTGGTGTCTTACGTTGTTAATTTTACTGGGAGCAGGTCACATCTCGCATGGCATGGAGAAAACCTGCGGATAATCTGAGAACAGAGGCACGTTCCAGAAGGTGAATGCTTCCCATGATCCACAGTGGTTTCAGTAGTCAGCCCTGCCTTGCAATTAAGGGAGACTTCAAGCAGGTGTTTTTGGGAGAGTCTCACAGAAAAATACACTGGCTAACATTGGCTCTTCTAGAGAACTGGCTTTGGTCCCGAGAAAATCTAACATCTAACTAATTGGGTGTCTATTTGGCTCAAGATTGTCAGAAATTTTGATACAAAAGACTCTAACTAAACCCCACTGAGTGAGCAAAACCAGTCATTTATGCAAAGCTTTGATACAAATATTTCTTTCTGGATCTGCTTCTGTTTTTTCATCAAAATTCCTGATGATGGCAGAAATGCAAACAGAAGACTTGAGTCCTTCACGCCCTGACACTGCAGGGCCACATTACTGCCCCCGGGACGAAACCACTCAGGAGCCCCCAGAGATGCTGAACGTGCAGAGAGCGGGCAATTGTGAAGCACCAGCCCGTGGGTGACCAGGCTGAGCCCCTGCCTGCAGGCATGGGAGACCCGAGCTCGTTACAGATCTGATGGATCCACTCCAAATGTCCAGAAGGATCAAGTAGCCTGTCCTGGGACTCACACTGCAGCCTTCAAACACAAATTCACTCCTTCCTTCCCAGAGGCCCCTGTCTTTTAATAAAGTCCACATGGGACCTGCTGTCTGTCCTCAAGGTCTGTCTGGCTTTCTGGGGTGCAATGAGCTGGGAACAGGTGGGGGGAAGAGGAGAGGTTGTGGTCAGGCTCAGTGGGGTGCTGTGTAGGGAGGGCTAGATGGGGTGAGATGGGGAGCTGGGCTCCTGCCAGTGGGTTTATGGGGGGGGATGAGCATTAGGAAGGGGGCGAGGGGCCCCGAGTCATTTTCTCCCACTGTGACCTGCTCTGGGAGATTTTGTAGGGCCCAAGGACAGTGGCACAGAGAAGGGTGAATAAATGAACCAGGCAAATCCAAATCTTGTGATTTAAAAGAGAGGAAATTAACAACTTCTAGTAGCAGTAGCCATATACTAGCTTCTCTAGAGCAGAGAAAGCAGCAGAACAGAAAGCAAACGCATAAGTGAAACCAAACCAGAGCTGAAGACCAAAGCAGAAGTCCTGGGGAGAGGAGGAAGTACGGGGCCGGAGTGGGCGCCAGTGGGTGAATGACCTGGCGAGGTGTGGGCAGCAGTGCCCAGCTGCGAGAGCCCCAACAGCGCAGGCCACCTCTGCTGCACACCCACATGAAGTCTGCATGGTCACTCTGCTCCACCTCTCCAGGTGACACAGCCTCTCCCAGCCTCCCCTTGCAGACTCCAGCCCCAGGGACACTGGCTCTGCCAGCTATATCTGTGTTCCATCTTGGACCCCACAGATGCATGCAGAGAACCAGCTGAGGTCAACACGGACCTCCTCCTGGGAGAAAACCCTGTCAGCAGGACCTCAGCTGCCTGCCTCAGCCTCCCAACCCAGGCCTCCCAGGGCACCTGCCTGCCCGCTGCCTTGCGCCAGACCTCTGCCCTGCAGGAGCATCCTTGGCCATGGCTCCCCATGGCTCCCACCAACACCTCTGTGCTGAGGAGGCCGAGGGCATTCATAGATGCATGGTGTCACATCTTCCTAATGCATGGTGAGCATTAGGAAGGGGGCGAGGGGCCCCGAGTCATTTTCTCCCACTGTGACCTGCTCTGGGAGATGCATGCATCTATGAATGCCCTCAGCCTCCTTAGCACAGAGGTGTTGGTGGGATCCATGGGGAGCCATGGCCAAGGATGCTCCTGCAGGACAGAGGTCTGGCGCAAGGCAGAGGAACCGTGCGGGTTCCTCAGTGCAGCCAGGCAGGCAGAATCTATTCTCCTGCACAGGGATACCTCATCTTGCTTATGCCCCTCCAGGGATCCAAACAGAGCTTAGGAAAAACAGGCGCAGGAGCTGGAGATGCAGCAGATGTGTGCTCAGCTCCAGAGCAGGGCCAGGTACGAAGCTACCACCAGCAGGGTGGCTGAGGGCCCCATTTATGTTAGGGAGAGAAGCTCAGCTTTGCTTCTGGAGGCAGGAATGGGGCGGCAACCTCAGGGAGGGGACAGGCAGGTCTGGGGACAAGGGCCCCGGGGAGTGGCGAACATGGACATCCCTGTTCGGGTGATGTGTGCTGTGGAGTCAATGTGACACGTGCGCTCTGACTACGGTGGGGCTCATCTCACACAGCTTGACCGGTCCCTGCTGGGTCCAAGTCACAAGCATCACAGGCCTTGTGTTGACACGAATGAATCCAGTGTGTACCTCATCTGGGCATGGATACCACACACAGATGTCCCCAACTCAGTGGCTCAACCTGTGACCCCAGCCATGCCATGAGGGGAGAGACAAATGGAGTGGAAGGGCTCAGAGTTTGAAGCTCCCATCCTGCCCAGGGCAGTGATGTGCGGGTTTGGAGCCTTGGCCCTGGGGTGATCCTGGCTTGCCAGGTACCCCAGGGCATGCTCAGCTTCTGGGCAAGAACGTGCTGCAGGTGAGTGTGGTGAGTGCACTTTTTACTCATGATGCTTCCAGCCTCTGGATGCAGCTCACCTGTGTCTGGGAGTGTCTGTCATGAAAGGTCAGCCTGGTCCCTCTAGGACTGACCCAGTGAGTCCACAGTCACCTCTGACACGGATGGAAGTTTGCACCAGCAGCCCCTCTGAGGTCCCCATGGGCCCTGCTGACATTCCTCGCTCTCTGAGATCCAGTTATGCTCTGTCTACGCCAGATGTCAACAGCTTCCAAGGTGCCAGCACACAGCCAGGATCACACCTGAACCTGGGGGAAGGAGAGAGAGTGAGGTCTCCAATCCAAGAATACTGGGCCTGTGGGATAAGTGTCCCCCATGCCACCGTGTGATGTGGAAGAGAAAGCCGGGGCAATGGGTCACCTCCGGAGGACAAGCCGTGTGCCTCCCAGCTAAGGTGGTTCCCAGGTGATGCCACCCCCAGGGCTCTGGTCCCCTGTGGAGCCCTTCTGGACTTCTGATGGTCAGCCCTGCTCTCCACTGGTGCAGGTGACATCAGCTGTGCAGTAGGGACAGCTCCTCGGTGTCCATGCTCCAGGCCACTGGACCTTAGAGATTTGTGAAACCTTGAGTTCACCGATACCCCTCTCACTGCCCAGGACATTCCCTTTGCCCACAAATGCAAACACTCTGCCCCTCTGCTTAAACCCTAATGCGCTCCCAGCCTCCCTCGCTGTGACTTAAAGCTCAAAGAGATGCTGTTCCATGGTTTCCAGCCTAGAGTTGCCGCCGTGTGTGCAAGTGCCCACCATGGGGAGCTGCCTCCCAGGGCAACAGGGCCAAGTGGCTGTGACGGACACCCCCAAACTGTGAGCCAGAAGAAACCTTCCTGCTACATCGGCTATCTCAGGTTGTCATGGTGACAGAAATCTGACCAGTACACTGGTTTGTTTGATCAAATGTGACATTGTTGGCCCACCTTGCCTACCTGCTTTACCAGGGCTGCCAGGAACATGTAGTTAGCAGCAAAAATAAGCATTACTCAGGGTAAATATTTGTCAGACTGAGAGCTGTCCCTAAGCTGTGAGGCAGGGTGTTGTTAACTGGAAGAAACTTGTGGCCTCTCAGGCGGACTGTTTTGCTACTGTCTGGTCACAGTTCTGTTCAGCCTCAGGCACGGGCTGCCCCACAGACCTTTACAGGGGCAAAGAAAAGACCCCTTCTCTGGCCCAAGGGGACCCCAGCTCCGGATTGCCAACTTCAGAAAACTCTAAGCAGCGAGTGGAGTTATTGCCACATTGAAAGCTGGATTTAAAATGGTTCAGAGCTTGCCGGTAGCCACAAGTGGTTCAGAAAGAAAGGAAAGAAAAGGGGGTGGGAGAGAGAACCCAGATTGATGCCCCGGTCCAGGTGCCTGGTGCAGCCTCTTCTCTTCTCATACGGTTTGGACTCCATTTACTTTGCAGAGCACGGGGAAAGTCTCCACTCCAGCGGGTTCCAAACCGTTCCTTTAAAGCCGTGATGCTTCCTCTCTCCTGACCCACCCTGGCAGTCATCCGGCTGGCTTAGTGTGGATCGGTTTGCCCAGACCCTGACTGCAAGTGAGTGGCTTGAACTGGCAGGACAATCTCGTCACCGGGGAGCGAGAAGGGATAGGGGACAGGGCAGCTACGGCTGCTCATTGCCCACGATACCAGTTTGGGCATGGGGGTCTCTCTGTGCGTCTCCTCTCTGTGTGTCTCTGTCTCTCTATGTGTTGTCTCTGTCTCTCTGTGTGTATCTTTGTCTCTCTTGGTCTCTCTGTCTCTTGCTGTCTCGCCATCTCTGTCTTCCTCTCACCCCCCTCGTTCCCCCACGCTCTCTGACCCTCCCTTTCTCTCCTGGTCAGGACACTCCAGCTGGGAGTGTTTCCTGGAGCAGCAGTCAGCCAAGTGGCAACGAGCAAGTGTGGTGGGCCAAGGGGTGGCTCCTTGTCATTCTGGAAACTTCAAGCGTGTGGCATCAGAGGGAGTCACCATACTGATCGGCTTACTCGGGTCCCCCAGCATCTTGGGGTCTTTCTGAGCAGAATCTAGAGAAGAGAGATGAGGAGAAGTCAGTGTGAGGGGCCCAGCCCAGCTCTGGACCTGCAGGAGGAAGTGGTCGCAGGTCGAGGAGCCCAGGGATCGCTGGAGCTGGAGGTGCCCAGGAGGTACTAGAGCTGAGACACGGGAGACTGGGGAGACCCACTCACACATCCAGCTCACATGACTGTCGCCTGATGGATCCGTGTAGCTCTGAGCTTTGAGTGATGGGGTTTGTTACTGTAGCAGGAGTGTCTTGGCACCCCCTACCCCCCATTTCCCTACCTGCCAGCCCAGGAAGACACATCCTGTCCTCCAACCTGCAACTGTGAATCCTTCCTCTCCCTACAAAACCACAGCTCTCAAAAAAACAGTGCCTCAAAAATACCTGATGTCACCCTGTCCGTGGGAGGGGGCGGCAGGGAGGCCGGACTCTGGATCTGGAGCACCATCTCTTCCTGTGGTGTAAAGCTACGGCAAATGCCTGGCCAGGGTCTCAGCAGGACAGGCCAGAGATGCAACTGAAGCACTCCAAGGTCAGCACGGCTTCCAGTGGTTGCCAGCTACAAAGTGGCCCAGCCAGGGCTCCAACCGTCATCTGCAAATGTGAACCTAGTGTCTCCCTCGGCTTCACTGCCATGTGCCTTCCATGGTGAAGGCTGCTCGCTGTAGAATCTTTTCTTTCTTTGTGGTGTCACTTTTGACATTTGAATTTTATGGCAGTCCCAAAGTGGTTCCTCTCTCATTTTGATTTCTTCTCCATTGGTATAAACAAGGAGTTGTGAAGCCAAGCAGCCTGCCAGGCACCTAGCATCAGGCGCCTCCCCACCCACCCTCGGGGCCAGGGCACAACTCTGGAGCACATCTGGGACAGGGCCTTCTGGCTGAAGGGGGGTCTTTTAGCTCTACTTAGGTGATCCTGATTCAGGTGAGAAGGAGCAGGTGAGGAAAAGGATATGAAACTACAGAGGAGGAAGAGGAGGAGGAAGAGAAAACCTACAGGGACTTTTTTAGACATTGAAACCAGCAAAGCTTTGGGCAGCACGAACTCCTCGGCATCCTGGAGCCGACCAGAGCAGCTCCCTCACGGCCCTGCCCCATCCAGAAGTTTCACTGTCCCTCCCCACTTCCTTCCGCCCTCGGAAAGCTCCTCCCTCTGTAAAACAAACAGTTGTCAGGGGCCAAGTCTCGCCCTGGTTACTGTACAGTGCATCAGAATTACTTTATCGCCACACCATTAATTTCTACACACATCTGCTCGAGGAATTCTCCATGCCTCTGTGGCACATCCATCTCCATCTCATCCTCAGTTTATTACCCTGTCTTTGTGTTAGCAAGCAGTATCAGGTGCCGGGAGCCTTTGGGAGCCATGCCAGGTGGCCAGCAGTTCCTTGGCCCCACTGCCTGCGGTTTGAGGCTCCATTTACCACTTTAATTTTCAGGCAGTTGTAATTCAGGCTCACAAATGGCCAAGGCACAGATAACGGGCTTCCCAGGAGCACCTTGCCTCACCAGTAGTTCCTGATTTACTGAGGAGCGCAGACAACACTGCCTTACTCCGGAGTGTGGAAAGGAAGACTTTGCCTCTGTATTTCAGCAGCCGGGGCCCCTGAGCAGCCAGATCTGCATGAGGAGGCTTAATAGGGTTCCTGACAGGCAGCACCCCTGCCTGGCATGGTGTGCAGGCCTCAAGAGACTTCTCCTGAGCTCCAGCCCTGCCTGGGGTCCAAGCCTTCCATCCAGTGCTTCTCAAAGTGAGCATGCAAAGCTCCCCTGTAAAAACAGGGGAAAACCGATGCATAGTTGAGAACAGACCCAAGACTGTACAATCTCATTCCATGCAAATGTTGTCTATTTGCAGGTCAGCCCTGCAAAACAGATCTGTCTATAAAACTGTATCTCAATCCTATAATCCCAGTGCAGCTTGCAATGGGCTGGAGTCCATTATTTTTAGCATAGTCTGTGAGGAGACACGAAAGGATTCACATGCAAGTCTTCCCACCACACTGGCAGACCTAGCCCCTCCTGGTTCTAACAATATCTTGCCTAAAGATATCTTACCCAGTACCCTGCACCTCTTTTGAGCCCCACCATGAGCCGAGCCTGGCAGGACTTTGATGGATTCTTCAGAAGTGGCTATCACAGCTATGCTCAGGGCCACAGGGGTAACAGCTCTGAGCCTGGACCTCATGCATTGCTGTATGGACAAACCAGGATCAAAGCCTGCCGTTCAGCCTCATGGAAGTTCAAATCTTGAAGTTCAGCCTCATGGAAGCAGGAGCTGGCCCAGACCTGGGATTGCTGATTCCCTGTGAGATGTGGTTCCCTTACGCTGAGGTGGCTCTGAAAGGAAGTTAGCTTGTTGTGACCTCACAGGATGTCTTAATGAGCAGCTCGGCCTCTGTGTCTGTTGCTTTCCGTGCCACCTATTCAGCCCTGGGGGAACAGACTTTTTCTTGTCATTGTTCCCCACACAATGCAGCGCCATCACTAGTTTGGCAGGGACCTTGGGCCAGGTAGCATGAATCATAGAGAGATGGCTCCGGTCTGCAGAAGGGTGGCCTCGAATCTGTGCCAATAGTGTACTCCTGCACTTAGGTGATCTTTAGATTCCAGGGAGTCCTGGAACCAGTCCTCATAAATCCTGGATACAGAGGGACTGCAGTACTCTGTCCATTGAAGGGAAGTTTTAAAAGGATGCAAAAAGTTATTCTCTTCTTTGGTTTTTTTAGTAAAAAATATAAAACCAGGATTATGCTTTGCATCCCCTGGATTTTTGCTTATGTGTCTCTCATCAGATCCAAGTACAGGTGGATGGAGGTCCAGCTTCTACCCCTGTCTTTCCACCTCTCCACCCTCCTTTTAAAAGCAGCTGTTTTGTTCATTTGTGACCTACATGCCAACGTTATTGATGTCCCCTTCTGTGGAGAGGTGGCTGCCCAGCACCTTGGCCTCTACCCCCAGCCTCAGCTTCAAGCGTGCACCCTGGGGTCCCGGCCGTAGCGCCCCCTGTGCTGTAGTCGGCAGGTCTCTAGCACGCAGACATCTTGGGGCTCCACAAGCAGCAGTGAGTTCTCCCCTTCTGCTGCCCTTCGGGATTTTGCGCTGGGATTGGAACAGGTTCCTGGAAACAATGTCCCAGCAGCGAAAGGCAAGTGTACGGGTCGCGTTGTTTGCTGTGGCCATGAGCTGCGTTCGAGAGCGGCTCCTCCACAGCCTATCCACGGAGCAGCAGCCCATCCACGGAGGATGCCCTGGCTCGTGGTCGAGCTCTTCCTGGAGAAACCCATCCTAAGTCCACATGCACTGAGGCCACCAACAGACCCCACGCCTGCGTGGCAGCCCCGCATTCTGTGTTGTCCCTGCTCTGTCCCACGTGGGGGCGCTGACCAGAAGCTGTGGTGTCATCGCCCTGTTGCCTGTAGGGAAAAATCAGACCGAATACAAAGTCCCCACTGAATTTGTGGTGCTCTGGACCCTGTAAGTTTGGGTCCTTTGTCTTCACCTCTGGTTCGGCATTCCGGTCCCTGGGTCTGGGTAGCCCTGCATGGCTTTGATTTGCTTTTCTCATTTCTGCCCCATTTTGCTCTTATAGGATTTATTTATTTTTTAAATCTTTCTTTCACAAGCTCTTTATGTAGTGGGACTATTAAGGCTTTGTCTGCAAGTGAGTCGTGATGTTTCCACTGGCCTGGCATTTGTTTTTTTCCTTTGCCTGGTATGTTTCTTGTCATGCCAAGATTTTTCCTTTTCAAAACTTCATATACGATCGAACTATCAGGGCTTCCCCACGTGCCTTCTGGATTTTGAACCACTGCAGGAGGTAGGTTCTCTTCCAAGGCATCGGGGTGCAGACAGGAAGTGCACTGGGCCCAGGCTGCACACCCTTGAGATGGCTGAGGAGGGAGAGAAGATAGAGGGAGTGAGGGGTGGCCCCAGGGCCTGACAGCTGCTCAAGGTCACCTGCACAGAACATCAGGCCACATGCATGGACCACTGCACCCTCGTGCCAGAGACCTCCAGACTGCTCTCCTCTCCCTGCTGAGTCTTGAAGACCCAAGTCCACCTTGCATAGGGGGAGGCAAGTCAGCTGCAGCATGGGGGCAGCTGGCACTGACCTGCCTGTGATGCTGTGGAAGAAAGCGCCACCTGGCTGGGAAGGGGAGTCACCGGCCTCAGACTCAGGCAGTGGGTGACGAGCTCAAGGCCATCTTGTTTGTGCACATACCTGCCCTTATTTCATCCACAAAATAAAGTGCACATCATGGTTAAATTTCTTCAGGGGGAAACTGAGGCTCAAGATGGTTAATGACCCTTCCCTTCCCTTCCTAGGAAAGGTGTGACTCAGTCACCCACCAGGTGCTGCTGGTTCTAAGGCCCAGGCTGATTTCACGCCAGGCATCTTTGAAGATGGGGCTCAGCTGTGTAACCAGACTGGTGCTCAAGTGGACGTCCTGCCCAGTGACCCTCTCAGTGATTATGGTTCAATTCAAAACCACCACAATCTGCATCGGATTACTGGGAGGACATTCCTTATGCTCAGTGGAAACTCTGCCCTAGCAGAGGCCAGGCAGCAGAGAGGCCGGGCAGATTAAAATGAAGGTAGAAACAGCTCCCTTGTGATCACACTATACAGGACTTGAGATTAATGAGGTCTGCTCAGCAGGTCATTATTTTGAAAAACTGAGCCCCTAATACCTGTGGCCAGGGTTCCAAGGGCCAGGGCACATTTTCACAACCAGAAACCAAACTGGGTTCATCCAGTCATGTCTGACTACCCTAAATAATTCCCAGGGCTGAAATGATAGCTACCATAGATGTGGACAAATGATGTAAACCAAAGGGCATCGTCTTCAGCCAGCCAGAGAAGAAAGGCACATGGAGGCAGCGTGTGTGTATGATTTGGCTCTTTCTGCACACCTGTGCTGTGTGTGTGTGTCTGTCTTGGTTACTTTTCTCTCATTAGTGGGATAAAATATCCAACACCCATAATTAAGGAAGGACAAGTTTATTTAGCTCACAGTTTGTGGAGGTTTTGGTCCATGATTGGCTGGCTCCAAAGCAGAGTGGCACATGGCACAGGGGCAACACTTCAAGGCAGCAGAAGACAGCAAAAACAGCAAGAGCAAAATGGGGGAGAACAAGGGGCTTCTCCTCCTTTATATTGTAAGCAGGTACCACTCTGCCCCAGGGCTGGTATAGTGCTCACACCACCTCTGTGCCCTCCTCTTGCTTCAGGCTGATGTTTACAAAGTGAGGACCCTGGGTCCCTGCTGAGTCACTAAGTTACACTTCTAAACTTCTCAACTTGACACCGTGCATCAACCATAACAGTGTCTCTGCTCTTAGCTTAGGGTCTCGTCAACAGAAGGTCAGCAAAAGACAAAGGTTACAACAAATTGCACAGAGACCTTCAGTGCAATGTAGGGCCCAGGCACAAGACAGACGCTAGAGGATGAAACCAGCTCAGTGGCTTAAGTGCCTGCTTGGCAACTGCAAGGTCATGAGTTTGATCCCTGGTACCAAAAAATAATAATAATAATAATAAAAAGGATGAAACCACGGTGTATGGGAATAAGAAAAGCCACCCAGAGAGCAAGTGATGCTGAGGGCTTAGTGGGAATTTGAGAGTGGGGGAGTCAGGGAAGAGGGTCTGGTGGGGAGGCTGGCTGTGAAAGGGACTCTGAAAAAGCATCATTACCTGAGACTTGCTCCCCATTCCCCACAATGACCCCATTTCTACTGATCACTTAGTGGCAGAGTTGAGGCCACATCTGTCAGCTTGCCTTGCAGCTGAGTATCTGGAAAACAGAGCAGGACACGTGTGAAGGGCCTTGTGCAGGCTAAGGTTGTGCTTCCCTCTATCCCTCTGTGCCTGCCCGTCTTGCATGGACACCAGGTGGTGCAACTGGAGAGGGGCACTGGCCCTGCTCTGACACATGAAAAAGGAGGTGGGCATTCTGGGGCTTCTGTATAGCCCCTGGATGGCCCTGGTGAGTACAAGGCCAACAGGATGGGTAAACAGGCCAGCCCCGCTCCAGAAAGGCCAGCGTCTAGGATGTAACAGAACTGTGGACATAACAGGAACTGTGCAAAACAGTGCAGAACTGAGACAGTCCGGTTCCTGCTCTGGGGCGGCTCCGCTCTGCACTGGGGAACCCCGTTATGGCCTGGTCTCCTCTCTGCATTAAATTCAAAGGAACACTTGGGGGTCCAACAACCCGCAGTATATTACAAGGAATTTCAGTCTTTTCTGCTTATTTAAAAATTTTTTGTTTTCTTTTTAATTTTCAATTTTATCTCCTTTCACTTTCTTTTTATTCATAGATGTCTGTGGTACATAATGATCACACGCATGGGGGGGGTCAGTGCTTGTGCAAAATCCCTTTCGTTCTTTTCACACTCCCTCTCCTCCCTTCCTCCTTCCGGCCCTCTCTCGGTCCAAAGAGGTCTGGTTTGTTCTGCCCAGCAGCTGATCCATGAAGCTCCTTTCTCTGGCAGATTTCGTGCCAGTACCCTCCGTCTGCAGTCTTGGGTACCTCATCTCACAGTCCCGAGTCTGTGCCCTCTGACTGGCTCCTCCCAAGTCTTCACCACTCAGCTGCTGCTCCCTCCACCTGCTCCCTGCTCCAGACCCTTGCAAGCAATGGAGCCCTCATCCTCCTGCCTCAGGTTTGTTCGCTTAGCACAATGTTGCCAGCTTAACACACATGGCCACGATGGCAGGATCTGCTTCTTTTCAAGAAGCATTCTGGTGTGTGCGTGTGTGTGTGCGCGCGCATGTGCATGTATGTGTGCGTGTAAGCGAGACAGAATATCACGTTTTCCTTCTCTGTTATCCACCAAGAGACTCGAGGCTTGTCTGCAGCTGTGCGCCATCGCACACAACACGGCAGTGACCACAGGAGTACTTCAGTGGGGCTGGAGAGAGCTTCTGAGTCTGGCCAGTTGCACTGCTGCTGTTCTTGGTGGTCACTTGGCTAGGGACATGGAGGAGGCCCCTGTGACCCAACGTTGCTTTTAGCAGGAAAGTACAGTGGTTCTTTGGATCATGAACTCAGTTTTCTCCACAGCTCTGGTCCAAGCCAAGCTGGACGACAATGTCATCAGATTTCCCCAAAAGGTCAACACTGAACCTAAACCTGAATTTGATTTGGTTCTTGTCCAGTTTGGTTTGCAATTGTGGAAAGAATTAAATTTGTGAACCAAGGTAACTTTGTGCTGCTTAAAGCTTGCTTGATAGTAAAAACACCAGCTCACTTACATGCGACTCGCTGGGTTTTCTGTTGCAATGATGAGTACTGGTCTTAAAGTCAGTCTCTGGGGCCCCCCGGCTGGCTTTCCTGCACCTGCCTACCCCACCCAGCCCCACTGTGGGTTCCACACCACCCCCCCCCCCGATCATCAGCCTTAGGCGGAGGGAATTGGAGGGAATTACAAGCCAGTTCACAGCTCTGGGAAAGCGCTATGTGAGCCCATTTGCTGAGGAGAGCAGACTTGCCAGAACTCAAATCACCAGGCTTTTTCGGTGCCTCTGTGATGTAAATGAAAATAAACTCCCTGAAGAGCCATGCAGTGGGTTGGAAATGTCATCAACAGGAAGAAGCAGCCAGGGCAGACAGGGGGTGAACACATGGGAGGAGGGGGCCAGCCCACAGGTCTGTAAAGCAGCATAAGGTGTGGTATGAAAAAGCAATTGCTGAAAACTGCTCAGATTTGATGAAAACCCGCTGTTGTCTGGCACATGTGTCCAAGGCCTCCTGAGGCCTGCTTACCCTCGTTTTCTTTGTTCAAACGTCCTAATAAAAGTATGTTTAAAAGGAAGTTTTGTTACACAGGTGAACTGTATCGCACACTTTAGACAACTCCTCTCCACTCAGCACAGCCCAGGCTGAAATGCTGGATGTGAGGCAGCTTGAGAGCACTGAGCTGTCCAACAGCAAAACCTAAGGAGATCCCCATCCAGGCCCATGGTCAGCAAAGCAAAAGTTGTAAACATGAGACAAAGCAAATGAAGGAAAAATTTGAGAACAGCTAACAAAAATGAATGACTCCTCACATGGAGGGAAGCAGTGACGGCTGGTGCCAGGGAGCTGGAAGTTCACAGTCCATCAGTAACAAGAGACTTGGGCAACTCCCTGTGGCAGGTCCGCCACACCAGAAGCACCAGTGAACTGGACAGGTGCAAAAGGAACACGGGGTCGGTGGGCCTAGGGACACAGGTGAGGCGCTGTTCCTTAATTTCTTTACTGAATTAATCTAATTACAGCACCAAGCATAACATATTGTTGATTTCGTAACATGCACAAGTATAATAAGTCTAACAAGGGACATAAAAGGGAGACAGGAAAGGGAGCCCCACTGCTGCACATTTGCTATACATATACCATGCTGCAGCAATGGTGTCTGCAGTAACCTGGAGAAGAAACCGGCCCCCAAATCTCCCATCAGCCAAAATTAACCTCTGTTGTTGATAAGTCGATTACTAACACACATAGTGTAACCCTAAGCAAAACACCAGAAGTGAATAAGGAAGGAAACCATAATGGGAAATAGAATAACTTATATCAGTGTACTGAGAGTACGTTTGCTTAACATTTATTTAACATTGGAGAAGACATTAAAAGGGCACAGATGTTCCCTGCCATTTTTGAAGCATTATATAAATATCAAACAGCTTTCACAGAGATAAACAGTTTAGGTTAAAAAAAGAACAAAAGAACACAAAATATCTAGAAAGTAAATAAAATGACAGCAGTAAAGCCAGGCTCATTAAAATGTGCGTGGGGGGCCCGGGATTTAGCTTAGCGGCATAAGTGCCTGCCTTGCAAGCGTGTGGTAGCAAGTTCGATCCCCAGTACAAAAATAAAACAGTGCATGGACTAAATACTCTGACTAAAAGGTGGAAATTTTCAAAATGAGTCAAAAGGATCCATTCTGTAAGTAAGTTCAAATAAAAGGACAGAAGAGTTAAGCTCATTTCAAGAATTTAATTCTATCATTCTTGTCCCAAATTGAGTTGGATAATAACCAAATCAAACTCAGTGATTAGGTTTAATGTTGACCTTAAGGGGAAACTTGATCAGTTCTGTATATCATAGCAATAGAAGCCATAAAAAGGCTGGAGCGACTATGTTAGTACCGAAGAAAACTGAATTTGACAAAAGCAATACTACTACCACCAAAAAAGAACACTGCACGATGATAAAAGAGCCAGTACCTTAAGACATGACAGGGCTGGGAGGTAGCCCAGAGATACCGTGCTTGTCTAGCATGCACAACGCCTTGGATTCAACCCTTCAGCACCAAAGAAGCAGCAAGAGAAGAAGAAAGAGTAAAGAAGTCAGAAGGGAGAGGAGGATGAAGAGAAGAAAAGAGGAGGACATAACAATAGCAAACGCACATGCACCTGAAAACACAGTTTGAATTTACATAAAACAAAGTCTAAATAGATTAAAATAGCAATTCAACACTTACAGTTAGAGACTCAACACCCCTCTCTCAGTAATTGATAGAACAGTTAAATTTAAAAATCAGTAGAGGCCGGAGATTTAGCTCAGCAGTCTAAGTGCCTGCCTGGTAAGCTCAAGGTTATCAGTGCAATCTCTGATACAAAAAAAAAAATCAGTAAAGATAAAAAATATTCGACACTGTAAACCAGACTGACCTAACTGGCATGTTGTAATAGTTCACTGAACAGAGCAGAATGCACACTCCTCTCTCATGTACACAGCACACTCTATGGGGCAGCATGCTAGGCTAGAAAAGTTTCAGTATGTCCCAAGGACTGAAATCTCACAAAGGATATCCTCTAACTGAAAGAAAATTAAATTAGAAAGCAATAATAAAATCTCACTAAACTAGCAATCAAAAGGAACTTTTAAAAGCTAGTCCCTAAATATTTAGAAATTAGATAACAATTTCAAATAACCCATGAGCCAGGAATAAATATCAGGGGTATTACAAATTCTTGAAAATAGAGGAAGGGAAATTTTCCAATGCATTAGGCTAGTATTACTTATACTGAATCCAGACAAACTATCGAAAAGAATACAGAGTCTGTTCTTCATGGATAGAGATGCAAATGTCTTTTACACATTTAGCAAACTGAAGCCAGCAGCATATGGAAAGGATTATATACTATGACAAAGTGGAGCTTATCCCAGGAAAGCAAGATGGTTTTAACATTTGAAAATCTCTTAATTTAAAACACCACACTTACAGAATAAAGGGGGGAAAAAAACTACATGATGATTAAAATCAATACAGAAAAGAATTGGAACAAATCCAACATATATTCATGACAAAGGCTCTCACTAAACCACAAAACAAAGGAATCACCTAAAACTAATAAAGAACATCTCTAAAAACCATAGCTAGCATCATACTTAATGATGAAAGACAGATTTTTTTTCCCTAAGGCAGATGACAAGAGAAAGATGTCCACTCTCATCATTTCAAATTGTACAAGGGCAATCAGGCAACAAAAGAAATGAAAGGCATCTAGATTGGAAAGGAAAATGATCTCTATTTCCAGATGCCATGACTGTAACACAGAACTGTTAAAGCAAAGATCCTGGACCTAATAAGCAGGTTCAGTATTATTGTAGGATGCAAGATCATACACAAACATTAATTGTATTTGCACACACTAGCTAGCAATTAGCAATCAAACAAAACAGAAAGTCATTCCATTTACAATCGCATCAAACACAGTAAAACATGTAAGAATAAAATTATAAAAGGGTAACGCTTACACACTGAAAACCGTGAAACGTTGTTGAACAGAACTTAATAAAAAATAAGTGGAAGGATGTCATGCACTAATAGATTGGAGATTTTAGCATGGTAAGACCGTGTTCTGGTTTGAATCTTAAGTGTGTTCCAAAGCCTACTTGCTAAAGGCCTGTCAGTTGGTAACAGTGTTGGAAGATGGTGAAATCTGTGGTGGGTGTGGCTTAGCAGGAGGAAGTTAGGTCTCTGGGGGGCGTGTTTCTGAGAAGGATACTGGGTGCCCTTTATATCTGAGCTACCATGAGGTGAGCAGTTTACCCAGCCACTCCTTTAGCATGATGATCTGTTTCCCTGTCAGTCAAAGCAATGGAGACAGTGGACCATGAGCTGCAAGCTCTGAAGCCATGAACCAAAGTAAACTTCCTTCCTGTAAATAGCTTATCTCAAGTACTTTGTCACTGTGAAAGGAAATTATTAACATAGACGGCAATGCCCTCAAAATTGATATGCAGATTCAATGCAATTTCTATTGAAATCCTCATTGTCTTATTTCAGGAAGTTGGCAGGTTGATTCTATAATTCACATGGAAATTCAAGGGGCCCTATGTAACTGGAAAAACCTTAAAAAAGAAGAAAGAAGGTGGAGGAGTCATGACAATTCTGAAACTTGCTATGAGGCTTTCATGATTAATACCATATGGTGGGAGCAGACATATAGACCCATGGAATAGAACTGGGAGTCCAGAAATAAGTGCACAAATTTATAGGTAATTGGCTTTCAATCAGGATGCTAAAACAATCCAGTAGAGAAAGCAGATTATTTTAACAAAGGATACAGGGAAAACAAGGTATCTACATCTATATGCTACAAGATAAACTGGACCCTGTCTCCACTCCATACATTGGAAATTAACTCAAAATGATCATTAAACTAAATTTTAAAATTTAAACCATAAAACTCTTACAAGAGCATATAGGGAAAAAATCTCAGTAATATGTTCAGCAGAGCCTTCTTAGATATGGATCTTAGTCACTTTTCTCACTGCTGAAATACAACACCAAGACTTAAAAGAGCAGAGGTTCATTCTGACTGATGTTTGTGTATTCTCAGGTCTTGCATGGGCAGCCGGCTCCACAGCAGGGCAGCATGGCAGCGTGGATGGGGGGGACAGCTGCTCTCACCTGGCAGCCCAGAAGCACAGAGAGAAAGAAAGAGCCAGGGAGGGAGATAAATCCTTCCGGGTCATACCTCTATGACCTCCCCTTTCAGCCAGACATCACCTCCCAACAGCAAGGCAGATGTAAACCCCATCATCCAGTGATTCAGTATTTTGTCACTAAGGGGTGGTGGTTGAATGGCCTCTCGGTGGACTGTGGTGCTGCCTCTGGCTCCAGCCCTGGCTCCCTCCCTGCCAGACAGCGTCCACACCACATGCCATACAAGGCACCAACGCCCATGCTCAGGCCCTCTGACCCAAGAGTAATTGTGAAATGTGGCTGGGGCGCCCAGGAAGTCACACTAGTTCTGCTTCTGTAATTCCAGTTAGTTCAGTTCCAGCATTTGTTTAGAGATCTTCGCTTTCTTTCATGCTGTTCTTTCAGATGGTACTGAAAATCTTCAACCACATAGGGAAATGTGAACTTCCTGGAGACTCAGGGAGCTGGTGCTGCACCCCTGGCCTCTTCAAGGAGGGCTATCCCCAAGGTCAGGCCCTGCATTGACCTTCCAAACTCCCACAGTGACCTGCAGCACAGCCAGGCGCCGTGTGCACAGGACATGGGTAGGAAATGGCACGGCGAGGTTACAGCCTTGGCAGGAGGCACAGTGTTCACTGCATCTAAGGGACCTGAACGTCCCCAAGTCTGGTCTCCCCAGGAGCCTGGAACCCATTCCTGCTGACACCAAGGGACAGCTATATGCTGCCATCCCCAAGAATGATCTCAAAGGATCCAGAAGCAGCCCCAAAGTTGTAAGCTGCTCCCTCCCTCAGCCCAGGAACAGGCCCTGCGGTGGCACTATGAGCAGCCAGGCTTTTTTAGATCCTGTTACCAACAGCTCCCTGACAACAGGTGACAAGAGCCAAACCAGATACCCGCAGAGGCACAGAAGATAAGGGCCCCGACTGCAGGCCTCATTGGAGCGCAGCTGTGTGTGTGTGTGTGTGTGTGTGTGTGTGTGTGTGTGTGAAACTCTTCTGGGGCCCTCAGAAAGAAAAAAATCCTAAATATGTAAATGACAAGGCACAAAATATTTACTGCTAAATTACTTGTGATACAAAACATTAAAGCACACTAGTGACCCATTAGCAGTAATGACGTGAAGAGAACTGGAGCACACTGCAAGGGGCTGTTGTGCACCCGGCGGAAATGTCTGGGAAGAAAGGAAGATGCTTTTGCTGGGGTGCACTGTTTGCCCGGAGGGCCTACAGTTTTCCATGGTTGTTAGGTGTAGTCGCTCACCTTCCATCCAGACAGTCCTGCCGGTCTCTTGCTTTGGGGAGGCGATGGTGCCCGGCCAGGGACTGCAGCACCAGCAGGGTGCTGACGGCCCCCAGGCGCCCAGAGACACAGCCTTGGGCTCCCAACGTGCAGCAGGCTGGCCAGCTGGCACACTCATCTCCCTGTCTGTGTCTCCTTTCCTATTTCCTCTCTTCCTCTCTCCCTGCAGCCTGATTGCGAAGCACTGTGACTCCTCATTTTCAGCAGAGGCTGTCACTGGGGCCCAGTAGATGACAGTACAAATTAAAAACTGATAGGTTTTTCCTCTGCGTGGTAGAAAAGCAAAAGCAAGGAAGGAAAGGAAAAAAGAAAAAGACCTTTATTGTGGGCACTGGAGGGGACAACCGCATTAGAGCTCCCCTGGGGCCGGGCAGGGGCGGAAGCCTGGCAGGCATTTATTCAGTTGGACCAGAGGGTGGAGCTTGAAGGGGCGGGCAGTGATAGTCTAACAGCTGATTGGGGAGTGTTCGCACATGCGCGAAAAGCCGGAAGCTCAATTTGCTGGTTTGTAAGAAGCGGAAGTCAGAGTTGAAGGGAGGTGGTGTAGCTCCATGTTGGGCCGACGCCATGCAGAGCCTGGCCGTGCTTTGCACAGGCGAACCTATCAAAAACCTCAGGAGTCCCCCACGGGAGCCAATCAAACCACAGGCAACAGCTATTGATTACCTGCTTAGTCATCTTGTCTTTGGCAGACCTCAGTGCCCTCCTGTGATGACCCCCTACATACAGTATATTTCTTTAAAACCGCTGGGTTGGGCCGGGAATTTAGTTCAGTGGCATAAGCACCAGCCTTGCAAGCAGGCAGTCATGAGTTTGAGCCAGTACCAAAAAAACAAAAAACAAAAAAATAAATAAAAGCGCTGGATTTTGTGTTGACCGTGAATCTTGTAAAGTCCAAATGGAAGAAAACCCCCTGCAGCACCGTGCCCAGGCTGACCTGTGTGGCCGCAGTCTCACCTCCCTCACAGGCGCCCACAGCTGGCCTTACAGCAGCCCTGGATCAGGACTGGTTCATCCCTGAGACCACTCCCCCACGGTCCAGGGGATCGTGGAACCCTCCCTCGGGCACGTACCCCCAGGATGGCTCTAGTGGGGTCTGGAAGGTGTCCCAAGCCCAAGTGTTTTAAGCGGGCATGCCTGGAGGATGGTAGAAGCTTTAGGAGCTGGGCCTGGGGGGAAGTTTTGGGTTCCTGGGGGCGACCTCTGGAGGGGACTTTGAGGGCCCCCAGCTTCTCGCTCTCCTTTGGTTCCCAGCTGCTTCGAGGTGAGCAGCTTTGCTCCCACTGCAAAGAGTGGCCTTGCCACAGGCCCAAGAGCAACGGAGCTGACGGACCTTGGCTCTAACATGGGGAGCCAAGGTTAGGCTGCCCAGTGCCAGCCTCAGGTACTTAGCTACAGAAACGGAAGGTGACTGAGCGACAGAGGCCTCCACGCTGCACACATGTGTTCTATCTGCATGGCACAGGCTCCAAGCTGTGCGCGGCCAATTGGCATTACCGAGGGATCCCGTCTCCAGGGAGGAAGCAGGTGGCTACATGTGTTTTCATCCAGCCTGGAGAAGCACACACATCAAACCTCACACAAACCAGGCAAGGCACATTCGGTCCTGCCCTGCAGATGCAACGGATGCAGCAGCGATGCTCTCTCTGGGCACCAGGAACACGCAACTGCTCTCTGGTCCCATCCCTGAAAGGCAGGCTGCAGGGAAAGGCTGCCAGCTCTTGTCCCCTTTCAGAAGTGGCTGCAGGGGACCTGCTCCACGGAGCTCCCAGCTCTGCCCCTTCAGGACACAAACACAGGAGTGGGCAGCTTGGCACTGGGAGAGCAGAAGCCTGGCCCAAGCGTGAGCTCTGAGGACCACCGGGGATGAAGGAAAACTTTGTAGGGGCCTGGCCCAAGGGCACGACTGTCCCCAAGCTGCCCACACTCTGGGCGGGTCTGGAAAAGTGAGGATGCTGCTCTGGTTGTTTGGTGCAGATTTTTCCAGGTGATGAGTAAGAGCTGTTTCTCTGGCTGGAGTGAAAACAGGGGAGAAAGGGCACAGTTGTGATGTGGCGGGAAGTGTTTGTCCATGGAGAATTTTCCCTTTACAAGGCAGGAAGTGGGCAAAGAGCTCCAAGGACCTCCAATGCCAGCATCCGTGTTTGCAGACCGCGTTCCCCATGCAGAGAAAACACAGTCCTGTGGCCGGGGACTAGGGCTCACCGTGTCCTCCTCGGCTGACCTTTAGTGAGGCTCTTCGGTGTGGAAGATAAACTAGAGGTGAGTAGGGAGGGGGAGAAGTTTAACAATGTAGTTTTCAAGCCCGGACTGAAGGCAGACGCCCCCACATCCTGTGAGCCTTCTGTGGTTTCTATCCTGAGGCTCAACACCCTGAAAATATTCAGGGAAAATTCCAGAAACAAACAGCTCATAGCTCTAAATTTTTTTTTTTTTAGTTAACCTCTTATTTATGGATGACTGATTACATAATTTCCATTGTCCTATTCATATAATAAATACCATAGTTGTTTCTATTCTTTTTTTCTTTTCCCTTCTCCCCTCCTTGTTCCCCTTCTCGTTTGAACATTTTCTTCCTATATCACAATATCCATTACACATTTTGGCTGCGGGTGAGCTCTGAGCACCACTGGGGATGAAGGAAAACTTTGTAGGGGCCTTGGCCCAGACGCAGGACTGTCCCCAAGCTGCCCATGCTCTGGGCAGGCCTCAAGGTGCATCTATTGAGCTAGAAATGTCTCAAGTTTATCCTTTTTAATGGTTGAGTAGCATTCCATTGGGCATTTGGGCTGTTTCCAAGACTTGGCTATACAATCAGTGCCACTATAAATATGGCTGTGCATATACCTCTGTGGTTTGATGCTTTTAGTTCTTTTGGAGAGATACTAGGAAGGGAAATATCTGGGTTGAATGGGACCTCCAATCCTAGTTTTTTGGGGGATCTTCACACTGATTTCCACTGTGGTTGCACCAGGTTGTAATCTATGCTCCCACCAAAGTGAGAGGGGGTTCCCTGTGTCCCACAGCCCCTCCAGCATGTGTTATTGGTTGATTTCTTGATGGCAGCCTTTCTTTTTTGAGTGAGATGGGTTCTCAGTGTTGTTTTAATTTGCATCTCTTGAATGATCAGTGACATTGAACACTTTTTCATGTATTTATTTGCCATTTGTACTTCTTCATCTGAGAAGCATCTATTTCAATGTGCATTTTTGGATTGAGTGTTTACATTTGGGAGAGATCTGATTTTTTTGAGTTATTTATATTAGATATTACTTCTTTGTTTGAAAAAGGCTGGAACTTTTTTTTCACACTGTGTTTTGTCTCTTCACTCTGTTGGTGATTTCTTTTGCTGTACGGAAGCTTTTTAATAAGAAGAAATATCAGTTGTTGATTCTTTGTGATAGTTTTGTGCAACCTGGGTTTTGTTCATAAAGTCTTTACCTACACCAATATCTCCAAGAATTCTACCTATTCTCCCAGAAGATTTAATGTTTCTGTTTTAATATTTAGATCTTTGATCCATTTTGGTTTTAGTTTAGTGCATGGTCAGAGACAGGGTCTAGTTTCATTTTTCAGCATGTGGAAAGCCAGGTTTTCCAGCATCATTTATTAAAGAGGTGATCTTTCTTCCAGTGAAGGCTTTGGCTCCAAAATGTATGCTGTTCTAAAGAATATGAGGACGCCCAGCACAGTGGTACATGCCTGTTATCCCAGCACCTAGAGAGCTGAGGCAGGAGGTGAGCTACCCGGTGAGTTCAAGACCAGCCTGAACTCCATAGGTGACACCCAGTCTAAAGCAAAACACAAAAAACAAAAAATCTAAAGACTTTGAGAAGATCTCACCCCATGCTGCTCTGTTCTACCAGGGACAGGACTGTGGGGCACAGGGACCTTCCATGCCCAGGGCTGGCCCGCCCACTCTGCCTGCGCTGATGGGCACCTTGTGGAAGGGAGGCTGGTCTTGGTGGTCACTGTCACTACAGAGACAGCTTGCACAGACACGCTGTGGTCCTGAGGGTGATCAGCCCACGAGTGGCCAATGTCTTCTCAGTGCCCGGCCCTGTGCCTGCAAGCAGACGTGCTCGGTGAACAGGGGCTGTTTGTCTTCACAGCAAGGAACCCCGCATTTGGGGTTAAAAGACTTTCTTGAGGCTCCTGGCAGGCTCAGCCTGGCCAGGAAGGTTCAGCCTTGTGCCCACCTCCCGCCTCAGTCGGACCCAGGCTGCTCTGACAGCTTTTGGATTCTAGAACAACCCAGAGGGTCACCACCCCACCACAGCACAGGGAGCCATCATTGATTTGGTGAGGAGGGACAACAGGCATGGTCATTTGGGGACTGAAGCTAGAGGCGGATGGTTGGCTCTACCTCTGTCTGACATGGCCTGGACTCTGACCAGGTGCCAGGGGGATGCGCAGGACGACTGCAGCACAGCTCATGTCCTGGGGACGGGGTGCAGCGACAGTGCCTGGAGGAGCAGAAGACAGTGCTGATTCGTCCTGGGAGGACTTGTCCTCACCTGGCCAGACGTGACCACGGACAGCCTCCCCTGCGCAGCTGTCAGCATCAGTGCCGCTCAAGGAAGGGACCTATGGGTATGTGTGGTGAGTGTGTGTGAGTGTGGCTGTGCATGTGAGTGTGCTGAGTGTGAGCACTGACACCATGCACGTGTGTGGCCGTGTGCAGTGGGCACACCCAGACCTGAGCTGCCCACTGACTCCTGGCTGACCATCAAGAGCGTGTCCCTGCCTGGCCATTCTATTCCACCTGTTTCCTGTCCACACAGCCTGGACATGAGGACGTCCCCTGCCAGGGAGGGACAGAGGCAGGAGGGCCCATGACTCCCAGTTCGCTCTCTCCACTTGGGGCTGTGGGGATCTGCTGTGTCCATGGCTGGGGCCTGGGCTGCTCTCATAGCTCGGTGGAGTCTCTAGGACAAACAAAGGAAGTCCAGAAACTGACCTGAAACGCAAGACTGACAGACCATAGCGGGCACTCAGCCAGACGGTGGGGAAGCTGAATTTATTTTTCTGTTTTCAAGACAGAAATGTGCAGAGGTCACAGGGACCACGGAACCCATGGTTTAGAGCCACAGTGGCTTCACCAGAGCTGTGTTTCACCCTCTAGACTGTCACTTCCTGCACATTGCTAATGCTGTCATCTTTCAGTGTAAGAGAGGCTGCAGGATCTCAGGAAGAACATCTAACTCAGGCAAGCTTGAATCTAAGCTCTTCCCCCAAACTCAGAGACCCAGGGGTATTTTAGGGTGTCACTGTGTGGACCATTACCTAAACACCTTTATGATCACCCCTCTGGGTCTGCGTTCTTACTTTCTCAGTTCACTAACGCCTACTCTCTCAAGGGATCCCCAAAGTGCTTGTCAGTGGGGCAGCACC